AATCAAGTCGGCGCCTTCCCGTGATCCTGAGAAGTACCCGAAACACATAACACATAACACGGTGAGCACAAAGCTTAGTGAGTTCCCCCAAAATACTACACACAGCTCATTAGCCACTCTAGGCTATAACTCATTAAGACCATCCGGTCAATGTGTCTCAGTGGGACCCTCTGGTCCCAACTCAATAAGCTGATAATAACAATACTCAGCATAAATCACAGGACATGATGCAAAATATTAAGATACACAGTTAAGCACAATAAACATCTCAATCATACAAAGGTACCACTCATGATAAGTATAGTGAGAAGACTCACCTCGTAAGCTAGCAAGTAAAAGTCTCGTACTCGGAAATCTCGAACTAGCCTCCGCCTAACACATAGGATAAATATCTCTAATTAATACTATACTTATACTTAAATATACCAAAGGTTGTTATCTCGTTCTCTCTAACTCTTGGAATGGGTAAAAGACCATTTTACCCCTCCATGGTCTCCATTACTCATATTGACCAAACCCTAAAGTCAACAGAAGTCAACTCGAGTCAACAGTCCAAGTTTGACCCGACTCGCCGAGTGCATCTATGTGACTCGTCAAGTCCACCTATTTCCTCAGAAGTCTCATGAAATGTCCAACTCAGCTCGTCGAGTTGACCCCCAACTCGTCGAGCTTCCGCATGATCAAGCTCACCGGGACAAACCCTAACCGACTCGTCGAGTCAGGACATGGACTCGGCGAGTCTATTCGATCTGATTTCTCATTCAGACATTTTAAGGAAGATCTATCACTCCAAACACTGGATCTACCATCCTAAGGCTCGATTGTCACGTAAAGCTTCGATCTTTACGCTCATGCATGGTGGTTTTGCTCCAATCTACCAATACATGTTCTCACAAGGTGTTAAACACCATACTCCTCATATGGATGAATAAAGTTGGGACCTTTGGGCTCTAGGGACCTCACAAGGTCCAGATCTGACGTTTAAACCTCTTGATAACTTAGTATACTCAAATTCCCAAATAAAATGTGATGAAAACTCTAATTTCTCAAACTTATGAGATCTAACCAAATAAAGGGGAAATGTTCAAGCTTTTTACCTTCCTCTTGAAGCTTTGGACGAAATGGCCTGAACCCCAACAGCTCCCTCTTGTTTCTTGCTGAACAAACTCCTCTTCTTCCTTAAAGATGCACTAAAATCCTTCAAGGTTAGCTTGGAGACTCTCTTAGCTCACTACACTCGTTTATGGTTTCACACAGTAGGGTTAAGCAGCTGGTGAGCCGCAAATGAGGCTATAAGTGTCCTTATATAGGCCCCAAACCCGTGGATTTAGGGTTTCTCTTCACAGCGTCTACTCGGCGAGTCGACTCTCTGACTCTTCGAGTAGATCATTAATCCTACGTGGCACATCGCGACTCTACTCGACGAGTTGTAGCACCAACTCGTCGAGTTTCTCAACAGTCCTCAAAAATAAATAAATAAATAATATACCTCGAAGTCCGGATGTTACATCAATGCTTACATATCTATAAAGGAGTCATGATCTATAACCTAAAGATGATTTTTACCATCATAAAGCCTTTGTTCTAAGCAAATTCAATGATTCATTACTCAATCAAAGAAAGAGACCAACAATTGCTCATCAAATACCAAGCTCATGATTAAAGTATTAAATAAGCATAAGAATTATGAACTAAGAATCATAAACATGAGATAAATGATAACCAAATATGAATCCTTCAAAACTCACAAATATCCAAGGCTTTTAGCCCAAGTTAACCAAAATATAGTACCTAGCCACTCATGACAAAAAGATAATATATCATAAAAATGTTTTAACATCAAGGAATTAGCAAATACTAGAAGACTGAGATAGTCCAATATTGACCAATCATCTTCAAATATGGATCGGTCATCTTTTAGAATCAAAATGGATAGTCCAATCCCATCTTCAAGAGTCCATGACCCATCCAAGTCTTCAACCCATCAAGCCCAATGCTCCAAAATGGATCTGATAAAGCCCAATAACTCCTCGAACGGCCATAAAGCCCAACAACTTAGCAACAAGATAATCTGCAACCGCAACGAGACTCCAAAACCTACAAAACACCTTATGCAAAAGAGAAAACACCTGATATGATCCAAGATAAAGAAAAGATAAAATATACAATGTAAAAACAAAAAAAAATGCTAAAATAAACTATATAAAAGAAGTAAATAAAATAACTTATCATTAATATATTTCAACTATAAAATTGGAAATAATAGCATGTTCGAAGTTTGGAAACTTATGGTCGAACACAATTATTCTTCAACATAATTGAACCCAAAATATTGTCAAACCAACAAAAAAAGTTTGGGCAATTGAATTGTGGGTGTGTTGGGTAATGATCATAACAGAGTCTATTGTGGAACTGACATCAAACGAGATTTCACTTCCAAATACAAAAAACATATTTCATACAAACATGCATGGCATGTAAACAACATGCACTTAAAATATTGAGTCGGCCCCAATAAGAATCATATTATAGACTCCATGTGTATTGTTACAACTCGAAAATCCATAATCCAGGAACATTGGCATAGATTCATACTTATGCTCATAACTAATTTGAGTTATACTTTCTCTCGATTGGTTACATGGTAATCTTGGTTTTCATGATTTATAAGTTTATATAGTCTATTTCCAAATGGCTATTTTGGTAAACTCCTTAATTTTTGTTAAGTTATTTTGATTGTTTTGTAGTTACGTGCCATTCTTAAATGTTATAGGCATACCCTCGTGATAGACATGACCCATGATGCGACATAAACCTTCGGCGGCTCTTCTGGTCTTCTGCTGCGGCGGAGATCTGGATATCACAGTGCAAAGTCGTTAGAGCCGCCCCAGGGACTGTGCCCCGGGAGCGGACTCCGACGGTCAAGTTAGATCAGCTGGTAGATCTGATATGGTTCTCTTTAGCTAGAGAGAACCATCTTGGTGTTGGTGGTGGTGTATGGTGGCTGACGGCGGCGGGTGGCGGCTGAGCCACCCGACCGGAGTGTAGTGGCAGCTGAGCCATGGGGGAAGAACCTTAGGGAAAAGGTCTTAGGGAAAAGGGGTCATGGGAAAGTCCTCCTTCATGGAGGAGGCACTATTCTATTTATAGTGGACAATTAGGTCAAGGGGAATTGGGTCAGGCCTTGGGCCAACCCAATTCAGGCCCAACTAGCAAGGAGCTGGGCAAGGCCGCCCGGAGGTGCACCAGGAAGGGATGACAAGGGAGTGCCAGGATAGGAACGCCTGGCCGGGCCGGCAGGAGAGTCCCCAGAAGGGCTGGCAAGGGAGTCCCCAGCAAGGCTAGCAAGGGAACGCTAGGCAGGGCTGGCAGGAGCACGCCAGGCCAGGCTGGCGCTCTAGATCAGTGTAGGTCATGCTAATGGACCATATATCATCAAGTCCCCCTAGTCTGGTGTTATTGGTACGCGGCCAATGACATCGGACTGGAACTAGTCATATAAATTGTGCGTCGTCAAGTCCCCCTAGTCTGGTGCGGTTGGGTTGCTGACAATCGGATCGGACTAGATAAAGCACCAATACATTAAATAATAGAGAGAACGACCGAACCTCGCCCACGAGAGTCGTGGGGTTGTGCGAAGAGTTGCTTATGCGGCTTGATCTGAATTGATACTCCTTTCTTGAGAGGAGCGCGAGCCAGTTGGGGCGATGCAACGTAACTGTTGTTGCGATAATGTAGACCGAGGCTGCTAAAGAGTGTTACGCGACACTGATTTCGATAAGGCATCGGGCCAAGGTAGCCGAGGAGCGTAAGCTTGCCATACAGTCTCTAAGACCGTTGCCGAGCTCCGAAGTCTGTAAATAGATACAACGTACTTGGTCCATGATTCCCGCGTTCCAGTCACAGCTGAAAGTTGTTAATAGAAATAGACGCTCTAAGCGTTGTACGCGCACCTCGGTGAGGGGGACGAGACCCGCAGCCAACACCGGGTGGGGAGTTATATTTCTATGCCCGCTAGATGGGAACTTTGAGTGACTGGTCAGCGGTGCACACTTCGCAAGTCCCTTGTAAATATTTTACAGGCCGGGCTTTGCTCCGCGAGTTTGCTGTTGGTGCACTCTGAGTATCGCAGCGCTAGAGCGACTCTGAAAAAACAACTCGATCAAATAGTTAGTATTTTTTCTTGAAATAATAAATCGATTCATATTGCTCGTCACGATTGTTTCTAAGCGGTTCACGAGTAGCAGTAGTAGTGATGCACTACTCTTCTCCCTCCTTTTTTTTGGAAATGTCGTGCGAGTCCGAGTCGCAACGCATCTTCTAAAGTCGGGTTTTGTTGGGCATATTTATATCATGTGAAACAGTGAATAGCTGATTATTATCTTGCAAAAGTGGATCATTTTAATGTTGAGATGTTCCATAAAAACTAGGAGAAGCCCAAGATGGATATTGCAATCCATTTCTAATTAGTCAGCCCAAGATAAATCTTTAGGAGCCCAAACTTGTTTTGAAATATCCCATAATATGTAATGGTCCAACATGTCATAGCCCGTTTGTGAAATCAGCCCAAATTGCGAATTATTAGCCCAAATCTTATTATATTATTTTGTGTGTATATGGAATTATGGACACCAAAGCACATGTGGGGCCCATCTTCTTGGTATTGGTTTTGAATCAGACAAAACGTTCCAGCTGTTCTTCACTCACGTTTCCCAGGGGTACCAAAAAGGAAGGAAAACGACTGGATGTGGGTGTTTCTCACCGGAGGACGCCGGTTGCAGGGAGATCGGAGAAGATCGTCAGCAGATGGCGTTGGGGTTGCTGCTGTAGGTTGACGAGTAGGTGGTAATGGCGGAGATGGGAGCGTCAACGAATTCTCTGGGGACATGGAGCTGTTGCGTCGCCCTTGAAGGTGTTCGGTGTCGAGGCTGCTATTGCAGGAGATTGGTGGTCCTTCGCCTGAGAATCTTCGACTGGGGAAGGTCGGAATAGTGACGTGATTACCGGCGGCTCTGATTTACTATGTCACCGGTGGTGAAGACTGTCGTCGGGGGCGCTTCAACGGCGTTTGAAGCGAGAACCGGTTGGAGATGATTTGGTTGCAATCGGATGGTATGTTGGAGATCGCAGCAGTGAGCTCGCCTCTTGTGCTTGGTCGCTGGTAGAGGGAAGGTCGGAGTGGGATTTTTCGGTGGTCCTTCCGTCGATGGTGGCGAAAGGGTAGCAAGCGGTAGGGGGGCGGTAGTGTTGGGAATACAACGGATGGTTCGGTCGGTGCCTTGGTTCCAATCGTTGGTGAACGCTGTTTGAGTGGTTGTTGCAGGAAATCGACAGATGGCCAGCAATTGGAGCTCCACAGGTACTAGGTTGCGCGTGTTGGAGAAGTTGCACGACCGGTGGAGCGCTAGCTTCAATTCCCAGCGATGGATCATGGAAAACAGGGGGCCCGGTGGTCACTATAGTGGGATGATGATCTTCAATCGGGCGGAGGATGCAGTCAAACTCCGATAATCGATGCTTGGAGAAGAAAACGGGTGTGGTAGGTGGTGACTGATGGGATGATTGGACCTGGTGGGTCCCACGTTTTTTGTCTTCTATTTACGATGTAGGTTGTATACCCTACCCCCCCTTTTTTTTTGTCGGTCATGTAACGACAAAGAGCCATACAACTGTTGTATCTGGTTTTTTCAATGAATCACCATTTTGTATACTGTCTTTTTTTTTCCTTCTTTTATATTGATTGATTTTTGTATCATCCCTACACCCGCCTTTTTTTTTTTCTTTTTTATTTTGACTAACTAGTAAACTGTAAGCCATGGTAATTTCCCCTTTTTTTTAAAAGAACCATGAACTAAAATGGTAAATTGTTGGGTGGAGGTAACTTTCATCCCTTTGTTTGACTTAAACAAACTTCCTTTCCTCAAACTTGGACAAACCCCAAAGTACAAACAAGACATATCTAATAGGGTTTTGTATCTTTCGTATGCACTGAATACTACTCTCTCCTCTTATTATTATTTTTTTACAAAGCAGTAACTATTAGAAGGACAGAGTACGTTTTTGAGGTAAAAATGACTTAATATGATCTGAAGGGTTTTGTGAAATGTACAATGTACACCGCTGTGGGTACAAATAAATGCTTCAGGAATTGAAGTTCTTTACAGAAAATCTAAACTAAAATTGTTTTTCTGTAACATATAAACAGAAAATGAAGTAAAACTCATAAAAAAATTTCTGAAGTTGCTCAACAAACCCCCAATATATGAACAAGAAACGGATCTAAAAAGGGTTTTCCTCACTAAACCTTCTTTACTCTTCAGTTTGCTCAACAGATCTGAAAATCTTTTGTTTTCCATCTCTAAGCTTCTAGAGGAAGCATCAAATAAACAACTTGAATGAAGTTGCACATGAGAAATCAGGAAACAAAGACCGATTTTCTCGAAAATTAGCAAGCAAAAGAAGTAAAAACTTGCAAAATATTGTTTGTTCTTCAACTTGCTGAATAAAATTCGAAAATATAAACAAAAATGAAGAAAAACTCATAGAAATCTCTTTTCTCCCCCAACTTTCTGAATAATCCATCAAAATATAGATGAAAGTGAGATCTGTAAAAGTCTTTTAAGACTTGAGGGTTGCTCAGATGAACTAAAACGAAACATATCTAGACATCTGAGCAAAAAACAAGGCAGATCTGAAGATCTAAGCTAGAAAACTCAAACAGATCAAAAGATCTGAGCGAAAAAACAAGCAAATAAAAAGATCGTTGCATAAAACTAAGCAAATCAACAGATCTGAACGATGGTTAAACAGATCTGAAAGGATCTTGTCAAGAACCAAATCGGTTTGAACAAATCTTGGTAGAAACCAAATGGATATGAACCAAATAGTGGTAGAAATGAACAGATCTGAACAAATCTTAGATGAAAACACATCAGATCTGAACAAATCTGGGCAAAATCAAGCTAGAGGCCAACAGAGGCTTTTGCTACTTGCTCGAATCCGGGATGGCGCCAAATGATGCGGCATCGACCTCCGGCGGCTCTTCTGGTCTTCTGCTGCGGCGGAGATCTTTATATCACAGTGCAAAGTTGTTAGAGCCGCCCCAGGGACTGTGCCTCGGGAGCGGACTCCGACGGTCAAGTTATATCAGCTGGTAGATCTGAGATGGTTCTCTTTAGCTAGAGAGAACCATCTTGGTGCTGGTGGTGGTGTATGGTGGCTGACGGCGGCGGGTGGCGGCTGAGCCACCCGACCAGAGTGTAGTGGCGGCTGAGCCATGGGGAAGGACCTTAGGGAAAAGGTCTTAGGGAAAAGGGGTCCTGGGAAAGTCCTCCTTCATGGAGGAGGCACTATTCTATTTATAGTGGACAATTAGGTCAAGGGGAATTGGGTCAGGCCTTGGGCCAGCCCAATTCAGGCCCAACTAGCAAGGAGCTGGGCAAGGCCGCCCGGAGGCGTCTGGCGGGGCTGGCGGGCGCGCACCAGGAAGGGATGACAAGGGAGTGCCAGGCGAGGGAGCGCCTGGCCGGGCCGGCAGGATAGTCCCCAGCAGGGCTGGCAAGGGAGTCCCCAGCAAGGCTAGCAAGGGAACGCTAGGCAGGGCTGGCAGGAGCACGCCAGGCCAGGCTGGCGCTCTAGATCAGTCTAGGCCATGCTAATGGACCATATATCATCAACCCACCTAAAGGGTGACTTCAAAGGCACCATGTTATTGGCAGTTGTGACAGACGGTAACAACCAAATTTTTCATGTTGAATATGGGATACATATAATAGATGTTCCTCTGACTCAAGGACATAGGAGCAGATGGGACTGAGGTTGTTGCTCATAATGACCCCTCTTTTTTCCAGGTTTAGACGTGTCGGTAGTTGTCCTAAACACGCATACCAGAAGAGTCACCTGGGTGAGTTGTTGGCCTCTTATTGGACCAAGGTCTAGGTCCGAGGGGGGGAGTCGTGGTGCCTGCGAAGCTCGGACAGGTGGTGCGACACGCGTCGGTGCGAGGTGAGGCGGCTTCAGATGCGAGGAGTCACCTGGGCACGCGTCGGATGACTCAGCAATTTCGGACATGTGGCATGCATGCAGAGTAGGTGACGTGGCCGAAGTCCACTATGCGAAATTTCTCGGATTTGGCATTTTTTCTCAATAAGAGGCCAACAACTCGGCCACATACTTAGCAACATCGAGCTTCATGGTCGGCCACCAGTAATAGGGTTTTAGATCCCTATACATTTTTGTATTGCCGGGATGAATCGAGTACATGGTCTTGTGAGCTTCTTCCATCAGAAGATCTCTTACTCCTCCCGTCTTAGGTACCCAAATCCTATCTTTGAATACCTTCAGTCCTTGACCGTTTGTATCAAACACCAACGTTTTACCCAAACGTTCCTCCTTTCGGTCATTTTTCTCTAAAGCTTCCTCCTGAGCTTTCTTTATACTTTCCACAATTGTCGAGACAACTTCAATTCTCAACGCTCTTGGCCTTTTCTTTTCAAGATTTACTTTCCGACTGAGAGCATCAGCAACAACATTTGCTTTACCAGGGTGGTAAAGTATCTCACAGTCGTAGTCCTTGAGTAATTCTAGCCAGCGTCGTTGCCTCATGTTCAATTCCTTCTGATTAAAGAGATATTGAAGACTCTTATGATCAGTGAAAAGTTTGCATTTAGTACCATAAAGATAGTGTCTCCATATCTTTAAGGCGAATACTACCGCTGCCAACTCCAGATCATGAGTGGGGTAATTCTTTTCATGCTCTTTCAATTGCCTCGATGCAAACGCTATCACTTTATCCCTTTGGGTCAGAACACAACCTAACCCAACTCCAGAGGCATCACTATAAACTGCGAAGTCATCAACTCCTTCAGGTAACGAAAGAATCGGTGCTTCACACAATCTCTTCTTTAACTTCTCAAAGGCTTCCTTATGCTTCTCATTCCAAGTATAAGTAGCTCCTTTGTGGGTCAAAGTTGTTAATGGAGTCGCGATCGAAGAAAAGCCTTAGATAAATCTTCGATAATATCCGGCTAATCCTAAAAAGCTTCGAATCTCTGTAGGACTTTTTGGTTGTTCCCACTTCATCACAACTTCAATCTTTGCTGGGTCAACCATTATTCCTTCTTGGTTAACCACATGACCTAAAAATTGGACTTATTGAATCCGAAATTCACATTTGGAGAACTTTGCATACAGCTTCTCCTTTTTCAGAACTTCTAGCACTTCACGCAGATGCTTGTCATGCTCCCGCTTGCTTTTTGAGTAAATCAAGATATCATCTATGAATACTATCACGGATTTATCAAGGTATGGTTTACAAACCCTATTCATCAAATCCATGAAAGCTGCTGAAGCATTGGTTAGTCCGAACGACATAACCAAAAATCCATAGTGTCCATATCTTGTTCTGAACGCAGTCTTTTCGATATCCTGCTCTCTTACCTTTAGTTGATGGTATCCTAACACTTATTCCTCCCTCTATCTCTCTCATTCAACCATCCATACTTGTACAAGTATGGATAGATTTCTTGCTTTGACTTTCTCCTTACACCACTTTGATTACTTGCAAGTCAAGAAGTCATTTAATGAAAACATGGGTTGAAACATATGCAGGTGTAAGTATAAAATAAGTAAGAGAACTAAAACTAGTTACTTTTCTCTTCTTATTTTTAATGCAAAAGAAAGCCTTCCTGTCTTCCCTCTCCTCTTAATAGCAATCTTGTTGTGTAGTTTTTGGTGCTCTAGTTAATTCTGCTTTGAAGACGTATTTATTATAAGTCTTTGAGGCTCAAGAGCAACTATATATAAAATTGATAGAATAACATCTATTGGTGGTTTGGTGACTTGTTGTTGGATACACATAGAGGGATTCTACTTTGGATCTTTGTCATTTTCATTAACTTTCAAGCCTCCCCTTGAGGACTCAAAGGACTACAAAGGTTGTTAATCTCCCCCCCCCCCCCATTTTTATGGTTGTTATTTTCTTTCCAAACTTTGCAAATATATCCTTTGGTGGGAATAAAACTAATATATTTTGTTCAAATTTTTAAGGCTTCTATTACTAATCTTGTGTTTTAGAAACAAACTTTTGAATAAAAACCCAACACTCTCATCCTTAATTGAATCAACTTCCATTTGATTCCAATGAAGCTTTGGTTGATATTTGGATCTCCAAGTTCCATTAATGGAGGAAGCACTCCATGAACCATGAATTGTAAGGTTTAGATTATTGAACTAGTGATTTCATTGATTGAAACTAAATCATATATGAATTATAGTTTTAGTAATTCTTGTGCATTCATGGAGATAATTAAATAATGAAATCTCAATTGGATCTAGATTTGGTAAAATCTCATGGAATGGAATCCCTAATTCTATCCCTATATATTTCATTGTTATAAGCTTCATGAATTAATAACACATTAGATGATGAATTATACGAGGGGGAATGAATTTAAATGAGGATTTGGTGAGGATTTGATCATTTGAGGCCATTAAGACACTTGGTTAAGTTTTGATGCTCATATATGCAACCTCAAGCATATATGACATCTAGAATGTCTTAATGATTAAGCCATAATGGAAATAAGACTTAATTATGAATTTAAGGTGTGAATAACCTCTAATTAGTCCTTAATAACCATTTGGTAAAGTTTGGTGGTCATTGGAGGTTTAGGGATCAAGTTACAAAGCTTTAAACAAAACTCTACACATTTCGGGCTTACAGGTGCAGTGACACATGCCATTTCACATAAGGCATGTTTGACACGGGCCATTGACACGGGGCGTGTTATTTCGGTGTATTATATATAAGCTAATAGGAAGTAAATAATCTTATGGTTAAGGTTTAAATAATAATAATCTTAGAGGAGTATTTTGGTCAATTTGGTAACAAATACTTGGTAATGACTATATGTGATGCCTAAGATGTACACAAAGCTTAAGACGAGAGGATTTACTTGGGTTTCCTTCAAATTTGAGTAATATCGAATACACGTTCTTTAAAAACAAGATTTTTATGTTTCTATAAAGAGAATGATTTAAAGATGTGTTTACTATTACTTGCTATATGTTAACTTATATGCTCAATTACATGTACATTGCATGAAAAATGATTTTTATAAAGAAGTTTTGACAAACAGAAAGGAGTCTAAGATGTTTTAAAAGAGTTTTTGCATGGATACTTGTGCATTCATGTAGGAATGAGAAATTACTTGTGAGTGTCCCTCCAAAGTATATGACAAAAGACGACTTAAGACGACCTAAGAAGTAGGGTGGTATTTTAGACATGCCCACTTGTACTTAAGGCTAGCTACCTTTTGTATGAGACCGGTGAATTGATAGCTCACATGCACCCAATAGAAAGGCTAAGGCGAAATATAAGAAGTCGTGATGTAAGGTTCTATGTTCTAACTATGTCATAGACTTCATTGCTCCCAAAATGAGAATGGTGAGCGGGACTAAGAGATGAACGGGAACGAGCGTAGTTTGCATATTGCATTGCATTCTTTCCATTTTATGAATCTATATGTTTGTAAAAGTTAAATGTTTTGGAGAAGATAAGGGAAATGGCTTTCGGGATTTTAAAAGATGTTATAAATTTCTGGAAAATATTTTGGGTAATTCATCATAAGTCAAGGGCTGAGTTAATCATTAACTATAACCATGATGAAATCCTAATATTACTCACTAGGGATTTCTAATGCTTAACCTACTACTTTTTAACATGTATTCAAGTTCTAGTAGTGACTGGGTTGTAGTGGTTACTTGACTTATTTATGATATTTGAATTGTAAACCTCATTTATAATCTCTTTGAAACTTAAATTGTATTGTGAAAACTTTTAAGGCCTTAGGAATGAATTCCACAAATGACGATTTTTACTTTAAAAGGTATTTTTAAATGTTTTTATAATTGTAAAATAAAAAGGGGTGTTTCAGTTCCATATTCCAAAATAACAACATTTGTTGATTTCGATGAAATAACCTGTAGATGTCTAAAATGGTAAATCATTGGCTTACTGTGTGGCCATGTTATAAACGTCTTAGAATATTTAAGACATGATGACATTTCCGACATGGATATCACAACATTTCATATAGATTGTTATCACAAAACATGCAAGGAGTTCATGAGCCCTCTTCCTGCCCCTTTTGAACGGGAGAAACATGATGTTTTAATGATTGTTAAAGCACCAATAATAGATAAACATCAACCCGAAAGGCCTAAAAATACTAATTGTATTCCATCGCAAAGGAATGGTTTAATAATCAAATAGTGTACTTGGTGTCATGAAAAATTTCTCACTAGAAACAGTTGTCCATTTTTTCCCCAAACCTGTAAAGAATAACCATCAACATACACAAGAAAAAAAAGTAAAAAATTTGTACAAGGTATGAAGGAGGCTTCAGGTAGCGGGTCACAAATCCAAAGTATTTATCCCACTGTTAACTTGAACAACTTGTAATAGGAACAAACCTTGTTACCATTTTGTTATAAACTATCTGTATTTGCTAAAACTTAAAACTTGCGTTGTTAAACATTTTCATTCCACATAATTCGTTCCAAAAAAAACAATTACATAACATTAATATATTAAAAGACATCACATAACATTGGTAAATAAAAGGAATACTAATACTCATTTTACTTAACAATACTAATACTCATTAATATATTACCTGCATGTACGCCCAGCGTACTCCTCTGTTAAGTCACTTTTCCCATTAAGTGCTTAATACTCTAATCCAGAAGCCACAAACACAGATCCAAGTCCTTTTCAACGTCTTAATCCATAAAGTAGACCACTTGGTGGCTTGCAACCCACCACATGAGCCCAAACATCGAATAATAGCAACTAACTCCATAGAATTGGCTAGATCTCATGCATGGTTACATAAAGTCCTTAAAGGTTGAAACTTTACTGCTAGAGGAATGCTTTGAGCTCCAAGGGTGGCAACCCTAAGCTCAAAAACGAAGTTGCATGATAAAGATCCATCCTTTGGACCTAAAAAGGTCCAAAGCTCCATAATACTATATCTAAGCTTCTAAGAGGAAAGTTAGAAGCTTTATACCTCCTTTGAGTGCCAAAAGATGAAATAGTTCCAGATCCTTGAGCTCAAGATACTCAAGTTCTTCTTCTCCAACTCCTCTTCACTTCTTCCAAGCTTTTCTTTACCAAAAATAAGCTCAAGAGGTCAAACACACACAACAATGGAGTATGAGGGCGTATTAGGATTTCTGAGGGTGAGGGGCTAGTAAGGAGGCTAGGGTTTCTGTTATAATGTTCCTTATATAGTGCTTAGCCCCCAAAATTAGGGTTTAGGATCTCTGAGAGTACGTTGGGCGTACTCCTCCCACACCCTCGTCCACTTAATTCGCTACGCTGGGCGTACCCCAACTTACGCTGGGCGTACTCTCGCCCCTACTACCTTGCATGCATGGTCCTTTCTTGCCATCTTTCTCTATTAGGGACCAATAATGTCAATAACTTCAAAGTGCTATTACTTCTCCATTCTAAGTCCGTTTTCGACAAACTTTATATCCACGAAAAGGTGGCGGGAAACCCTACGCTCTTAGTAACGCCCCTAAGCATAAAACCTTACGAACATTCCCAAGACTCATAAAAGACCGAATCGCCCCTACCCTTTGGCCTCCGAGACTACAACCGAGTACTCTCAAAACTGGGTGTTACATTCTATTTTTTATTTTTAAATGGTGATAAGTATTTTGAAATTTATCAACATTAATATAGATTATAAGTAAATGTTGATAAGTGTTTTAACACTTATCATCATTTAATATGAACTAGTAAAAAAACTCGTGATTCACAACAAGACTGGTTTTTTCTTTTTTAAAACTTTAAAAATAACTAAAACGAAAGCAGATGATGTAAACATTAGCACTGGTGCAAACAAATGAAAGTACAATATTATTATCGACGACATATTGTTATTACCGGTAAAAAAAAAGTGCAAATACGCTTGTGATACATAAACAATAATTTGTAGGTGTTAGACGCGCTTACAAATAAAATGGAAGTACAAAGACACTAATAGATATACTAGATATATATCTTCCATCATCATCACTTGTTCCATCAAAAAATTCACAGATTTATTGCATTCCATCTGTGAATACAAAGGAGAGTTCGGTTAAAGCATGAAAATATGATCCAAGGAGGGCACACTTGCACAAAACTATGTATAAAATGGTGAAATTGTGATCTTGTATGGGCACAAGTAAGATGTTATAAAATTTCAACAATTCATTCATATTATTTTTTATATTAACCATTAATTACCATACATCTTTTGACAATATTTTGGAAAATAACCCTTGGTTGTTCCTGTGTTAACAATCATAACCCCAATAATTGAATCTAAGGTGGAATAAAGTATTTAAAGCAAGGATTTTCATATATGGATAAGAGCATTTCATCTTCTGGGTGACATGGGGATGGAAAACTTACATAAAAGAAGAAATAATCAATGGTGCCTTGTCTAATCAGATACACCATGTCCACTGAACTATTGGAGTCGGGGCTTTAATGATCTACGCAGGGCGTACTTGGCCAAAGCGTAAACCCTAATTTCGGGGTTTTGAGCCCTATTTAAGGAATTAAATTTTCATGAAGCCCTTCCATCCTCAACCTCCATTCCCCCAAACATCTCCCTTGAAACCCTAACTCCATTTTTGGTGCATTGTGAGCTTAAAGAGTGTTTTTGGGTACTTTTGAAGAAAGAAAGAAGGTGGTGGAGTTGCTTGGAAGCTTGAATCAACCTTGGATCTGGCTTTGTTGTTAAAATTATGTCCCTTTGTCCCTTAAATTTGTCTATTTGAGTGTGAGATGTTCTAGATCTTGTAAAGTGCATTGCCAGATGTATTTGAGGGTATTAAGTCATAAACAATGGGATATTGGCCATTTCTAACCATCCATGCATGAGTTTTGGCCCATAGAAGTTGTCATGAGATTAAGGTTTGTTCTTGAGCCTTGATAAGTCATGCAAGTGCATAAAGTTTGGAAATTTATCAAGTAGGACATTTATTTAGACCAGATTTGAGAGTTGGACATTGTGTCCTTCTGTATTAAGCTCTTAATGGAAGGTTTGGCTTTAGCATAAGTACGCAGGGCGTACTTATGGCTGCCTTATTTTGTCTCGTAAAAGCTATCCGATGCTCTATGCAGGGCGTAGAGCTGTTACACATGGTGTAACCTGGATGATGTTGACTTTTGACTTTTTGAATGTCGACCAAGTTTGAATTTAGGTCAAATGGGGTAATTTAAGTAGAAGATTGAGGCTTGGTCCCTGTTTGATGTCTATGTGATCTGTAGCGGTATTTGGAGCAGTGGTCAGTTCAACTATCTTTTGGACATTGAGGTGAGTTCTTCCTTAGTATACTAGGGAGTCGAAGGCATCAATGTCAGCCCCCTGTACTTTGTATGTATCTTGGTATATATAATATGGTATGGTGTAGAGATTGGATAGTCGGTAGATTTATATGATTATCTGTTTTGTTGGTTATTACTTGTTATTTGATTATGTATATATGTCGACATATTATGATGGGTTGGGTTGAGGCGGTCCTACTTTGTGTTGAAGGTCAAGATACCCAAGGCGGTCCGGATAGACTGTAGGCCTTGCGAAGCGGTCCAGTCAGGTCGTAGGCCCGCAGAGTTGTCCAGATAGGTTGTAGGCCTTGCGAGGTTGTCAAGTCAGGATGAAGGATCGTATATGCATGTTTTATTTATTTGGTTGTGTGTGGTATATTGGGGGAAACTCATTAAGTTTTGGCTTATAGTTTGATTTTATGGTATCAGGTACATCAGATGATAGGAGCAAGGCAAAGGCATGATTGTGCATATCATCCTCAGATATTATATTAATAAAATGATTTTGGGATACTCTTGATTTATGACTATGGCTTTTGGAACACATGTTTCGTATAACTTATGGATTATTATATGGTTTTGAAAATGAAAATTTTTACTATGATTTTTGTGATGTTATAGAATCTCAGTTGCCATTTAGTTGTTAGGATGGCATTTTTGTAATTGTAGTAGGTTTACAACTAAGTACTATTGCTACCAATATAAGCAATGTAATATATCTTTTACCATTAATAGTAACATACTTACACTTTTTATCGATAATAACAACGTACTTACAAAAAGTTTTTGTCATTTATCTATTTTGGTCAATTTAGACATTTTTGGTATTTTTACTTATCAATTCAATCAGTTTCGTCTTCTTTTTCTTTTTAAATTATGGACTTCTTAACAAACTTCTCATATGTAAATAAATGTGGTTGTGTGCTCTTAAAAATGAAGTTTTGGTAATTGGACCTTTTTGGTCAATTTTGGTAGTTTTGGTCTTGTTGACCAAATCTGTCATTTCAACCGTTTTGGCCTCCTTTTTAATTTATGAGCTTCTTAATAAACTTCTCATATGTAAATGTATGCTCTGGAAACATAAGTTTTTGTCATTTGACCATTTTGGTTAATTTTCACAATTTTGGTCTTTTTGACCAAATCTGTCATTTTGACCCTTTTGGCATCCTTTTTAATTTATGAACTTCTTAAAAGATGTAAATAAATATGGTTTATTATCCCAAAACATAATTTTTTGTCATTTGACCATATATGCCTTTTGACATCTTGAATTTTGTCTCGGATATATAAAAAGGGGGCACCCATAGTTACCAATAACCGTGTTTTAACATGTTAAACATGTAACATGTTACTGGTAAAATACTACAACTTTTAATTCAAAAATGGCAAAATATACTTTATTGTAAGAGTTGCATTCAAGCTCCAGAAAACTGTAACCATTTATAATATATGCATGTACAAATAGAATTTGTATCACCTGATCTTTTTGCAAGAAAATTGTAACCATTTATGATATATGCAAATTAGATTTGTATATAGTGATATTTTCACAAATGTTTTCAAAGGCCTCTGAATCACGGGCTGGCAAATTAATAAAAAAAAAAACTGCAGTTAATAACTCTTGGAAAAGCAAAAAAATTGGATACCATCAAATATATTCCCTAATATTCCAGGGCCCAACTCAACGGTTTAGAGGCTGAAAGTTAAAGTTCAAGTAATTGTATATATATGGTTATAATTATCTCAAATAAATTGGTGATCAATGTGTACCTTGTATGTCCAAAAAACATGATCATACATCATCAGTTCGGTTGTTTCTTCATAAACTGAAATACAAAAAATAAATTTTCTTAATATTGTGAAGCAAAAAATATATGATAGTTTAATTAAAGGATATAAGAAACTTAAATACCTTGAATTGTAGAGCAATCGCCTTCCAAACGGATAATCCCACCAACAAGGTTGTTATGTCCAAACGGATAATCTACTAGAAGAAATTGTTTGCTCTCCCTAATGAATACTATACGAAAACACATTTGGATATTTCATATGGTTTAAGGAATAGATAACATTGATGACTCAAACACTTAACATCTAAATTATTTAGCACCATGGATAGCATTCAGCTAGAGTTCGTAATACTTTAGAAAAATATGTTATTTATGTTATATGCCTTTTTTTATGTTGAAAATCAACTGAACATCTGAGTTGTAGCACAATCATCTTCTGTTATTTTCTCAATAATTATATCTTTTCTTTTTCTTTTCCTAGACACCACATTTATCAGTTTTCACATGCATAGGGGCAATGCTATCATTTTGCAACCAAGGGATTCATCTTGGAACTCTATTTCAAAAGGAACAAAATTAATAGAAATTAGGCAAAAAAAAATATTATGTTGATCTATATTTCTGACAAAGATAAGTGCAAAACTTCCATTTTTTCTGACAGAAAACATCTAATTCGTTATGAAACACAAAGTTTATTAATTAATGGACACATAAAACCTGGAACTGCATTCACAATACATAGACTTTAAATGAACCATTTTAATTTTGTATGGAAATAAAGAGAAAATAATCATTTTACCTTGGTAATGGAGTTCGGCTCCTTGATCTCCCCTTTAACATCTCAGCTGGTTCCACTACTCTTCCATCATGACTAAAAGAATATAAGAACCCACTATATTAATACATACAATTATGTTACGAATATCACATAAACACATATAGAGCTGTAAGAGCATTTGCTAAACACACATAAATCTGCAGTCAAATCCTTAAGTTCATCGAAATTTGTAAGTTTTAAAAGTAAGCAACATAAATCGTGATGTGTGTAACAGATTCAATATGCAAAAGAGGGGATGAGAAAAGGAAGGGTGAGTATCGAAGTCCAATATGTTATATTTCAATACTAGGTATAACTTGTGAAATTTGACTATGGTTTATAAGGTTCCGAACGACAAACCATAAACATAGGAACCATAAATTCCTTTAATCCCCAATAAAAAACCTAAAATTGGGAATATGACAAACCCTCTCTAATCGAGTTAGCAGAACGAAGCCGTCATTCTACCAAAGATTTTCCCTCCGATCGAGTGTGTGAGAGAGGAGGCCAAGGCTTCAGATCAACTGTTACCTGAATCTTCAAACCAAATAATTAAAACTCGAAATAGAACAACATTAGAAGAAACCGAAATAGAGAGAAGGAGTATTAGGCGTCGACCTCATCGGTCGATTGGAAGCCAACGATGGGAATCAGAGCAGAGGAGTTATGAATTGACGAAAATCGACATAAAAAGAAGCATCCAGTCGAGTCGACATAGGAGATGGAAGAGAATTTTGTGTGCAGTTGGAGATGAAGAAGAACCGTAGTAGTCGTGGACTGCATAGGTGGAATAAACTCATTGGAGATGCAGGCGATCTACCAGGTGAATGTCACGATTGAAAAATATTCGACTTCAAAATGAGAGAAGAACATGTAGCAGTGAAAGCCATTAAACCGATGAAAACCACCCTGACTCCAAAGTTCAAACCACCTGGTATTGAGTCGGCTCAATACGGTATTATGTAACGTTAGTAAGCCTATTTCAGTATCATACTAATAAATGAAAATCTTTTTGGCACATGTCATATTTTCATGCATTTTGATACATGTAATTTTGTGGTTAATTCTTAGGTTATAAAAAGTAATTAATATGTCATTAATTTATTTCCTTATATTTTCAAATTTTAATGAATTTCCTTCGATATATATAAATCAAAATTGGCATATTTCTTTTAAAGTTATTGTCATTTTAAGCAAAATGGTCTCTATAGAAAAAATAATCAAACTTTGTTGTTTTTTATTGACAAACTAAAAAAAATGTTGTATGGTCAAAACATAATTATTTTTCTGTGGTTTGTTTTATTATTAGTATAAATTGAATTATTTATTTATTCATCATTTTGTTTGTATACATTTTGAAAAATTATTTTAAAAAATATTTAATGTTTACGCTTTGATATTTAATGTTTTCATTAAAAAAATACTTAATGTTTATTTCTTCATATATAATTTTTTTTAATTGTGTAGTACACGAGTTTCACTAAGGGTGAGCATTTTGACCGAACCGGACCGGACCGGCTCTTGGACCGGACCGGTTATGGAGAATATTATGGACCGTGGACCGGACGGGATGAGTCGTGTCCGTGTCCGGGTCCGGGTTTTCCGATTCTTGGACCTGTTTGGACCGGTACAACTTTAATTACATAGAGTACAAGTCGTTAAAATAAGTGTTTGAGTTTGATAGAACTCGTTAAAACGAATATGTTGTTGGGTTTGATATGATACAACTTCTAAAAATGATTACGTTTCTGTTTCATGCATAACTAATCTACCTTGATGTTATAATATTATAACTTGCAAAATTAATTTTCCAAATAAAAGCAACTAACATATAAATCAAGTTCACCAAGATCCCTTTCATATGATTTATCTGTCAAAGATACATAAAATTCAGAATTATAGTCTAAAGTAATAGTTAAAAAGCTGAAATATTTCAGCTTTGATAGCTCAACTTTGAATGATTGTAACTCACTGAATATAATATCAAAATCAATGAAATTATAGTCTAAATTCATCTACAAACTGTAAACTAAATGTTGGAAAAAACCGCAGGTCAATCCGACTTAAAACGAACGAGTTATGGTTGTTTAAAAAAATTCACAGATTACAAAATTTTAAAATTTTTGCTGAAAAGCTGAAAATTTTCAGCTTTGATAGCTCAACTTCGAAAGACTATAACTCATTGAATATAATACCAAAATCAACAAAATTATAGTCTAAATTCATCTACAAACTGTAAATTAAACGTTGGAAAGAACCGCGTGCCAATCCGACTTAAAACGAATGAGTTATGGTTGTTTAAAAATTTTCACAAATTACAAAATTTTAAAAATGTTGCTGAAAAACTGAAATTTTTCAGCTTTGATAGCTCAACTTTGAAAGACTGTAACTCATTGAATATAATACCAAAATCAACATAATTATAGTCTAACTTCATCTACAAAATGTAAATTAAACGTTGGAAAAAACCGCATGTCAATCCGACTTAAAACGAATGAGTTATGATTGTTTAAAAATTTTCACAGATTACAATTTTTTTTTAAATCGGGTCCAACCGGTTCTAAACCCGGTAAAACCGGACCGATTTTGATGGATTCCTAGAACCAAGAACCGCCCTGGGGGTCCAAGAAAATGGTCCAATCCATCGGTCCAAATGCTCACCCCTAGGTTTCCCACCTAGTATATAATGAATAAACGATGAATAGGAAAAAAAAAATATAATATTTAATTTATCTTTGAATTAATAGTGAAATGATTTTCCGGAAAGTTTACATTATGTTTGGTTGGAAAGAGTAAAGAAATACTCCGACACTATTTACGGTTTGACCTCCAACTGAATCTAAAATCCCAAAACGTTATCTTAAACCCCAGGGAGCCGCCATGAGCGCCACCCTGTTCTTCCTCTCACCACCACCCCGCACTTTTCCAACTATATGCCCAATTTCGTCACTACAACCCATCCGCACTGTCGCCTTCTCCTCCTTATCCCTCAAACCATCACTTAAAATACCCAGACGAGACTTCAGGATCTTCTCCGATGACGGAGATGCCGGGGGAGACGCTGACGGTGGCGGAGATGGCGACGCAGACGGTGGTGGAGAAGCAGACCGCGACGATATGGACGAAGAAGAAGCGGATGAGAGTGACAACAAGAGAGATTACGATGTCGAGTACGAGGCTCTTGTCGCCGCTTCGCGAGGCGGTGGTGAGGAAGGAATGGCGATGGTACAGAGTAAGAACTTCGTGTCAACTCAGGGGTGGAATTCGGAGGTGGTTGTGGATTATAGAATAAACGAGGATGAATTTCATAAGATCAGTTTGATGGATTGTGATTTTTTCATCCGGAAACCACCTGATCCTGATAATGATGTCTACGATTTCCGAGAGGTAATTTCATAATCAAATTAGTCATACATCTGTATCTATGTTAGATTTCGTTTTTCAAATACTCAAATTGATTTAATTGATTAAGGTCATTTTGGACGAAATTTAGTGCTAAGATAGCCCGTGATTAACAGAAATTCCCAAATTCAAAAGGCTACAGCATACACTTTGTCCCCCCAAAAAGAACAAAAGTTTAAGTGTACATGAATTGTGTAGGTTATTGGTATTGGCTCAAATTTTGATAACATTATGTGTTTATGGAGAATTTTACTGAAATATTTTGTTTTGGTGTTGCAGATGTATGTGACAGAACCAGATACTGATATCTATGCAATTCCAAGAGTTCTTGCACCAATGCCAGAGAAGGTTACTTAAGACAAATTCCTAGTTTCATGCTTATAAATGATTATTTAACAATCCATTGATTTCATGATTTCATCACTAATTTTCAGATTTACAAACTTCCTTTCTTCAACCATTGTTCTACATGATCCAGTGGATAACAATATTATGCATTTCTTTAATTGCAGTATATCAGATGTGCAAAGAGTGATTGGGGGACCTACAATGTCACGGAACCACCTATTGATGCACTTAGAGATCCTATGTACAAATCAGAGTGGGAGGTTATGAAGGTTAGGAACTCATAATTTTTTTTTTAATTTCTTTAATTTTTTGCCACAATATAACATCTCATCTATATTTAATTCAATCGAATAAACCCGACTCGGTACTTTACTCTAGATACAAAATACCCCGCTTTGAATATTGATCTAGATTTGGAGGACCAAAGTGTAAAATATATTAAAATGAAAGCTTTGTAGAGATTATAATGACAATATGTTGTTGTTGAAGGTGTTTTTGACGAAGCATTACAGGAATCGGCGGTTGGATGATCCTGATTTTGTGCTAGACTTTGAAGAGATTTATGTCATTGATTCAAAAACAAAGTCGATAACTCGGGCAAGAGTTTTGGTAAGTGCCCATTATGCTTTAAGTTAACAAAAAAATCTTACTATGCTAAGTCCATTAAGCCTTGTTTCTTTTGTTTAATGGAATTATTTATTATGATGTTTTTCAGGTAACGGTTCCTGAAGGAAGAGACAGAGATAGAAAGAACGATTTTCTTGTTATACGGGATAATGCAACTTCATTCACAATAATCCCCTCGGTGATAAATCCCATACAACTGCAATTCCAAATTATGATTGTATTTTGTATATTTTCTGATCCTAATACTGTTTGCAGGAGGAGAGAGATGATCCAACGACTGTAGTACATAGGGAAGAGTGGGACAAGGACAGAAAGGACATGGAAAGACATCTCAGCAAGCTGCGTGATTTCAATGTTTCAAATTGGTTCTAGTTTTCTGTTTCTCGATAGGTGCTGGATTTTGTACAACACGGGCCTTTCGGTTGCGGGTATAACGGTTTCCGACTTGTATTATTACTTGGCTTTCCATCGATTAGAGGTGTCATGTTCATGTGTAGGTAACTTTTTATATCAAAATAGTGAAACAAGTATGAGCCCAGTGTTTGGTTCATTATTTATCTCCAACTGCATATTTTGCTCACTAGGGTTCTATAGACTGTAATCTTGATGAGTTAGTTGTATGTGGAAAATACCGTTCACCCATTGTTTCTTTAGGCCCTGTTTGTTGCACTGGTCACTGGATGCAACACAATGGAATTGGACTAAACTAGACATGATAGACAAGCTTTCTAGGGCTATATTTTCAATGATGAGACGTTTTGTGCTCATATGAGAGATCGATAGTTCGTCTCTGTCCCACCTTTTGGATAGTATAACAAAAGTAAGTTTAAACAACTCGTCTTCAAGAGCATCAAAGGTCCGAAGGTCCTTCTCTTAAGTTATATATGGCTTTGTATATACTATACTATATATGTGCATCAAGCGTCCTATGACTATGACATATGGCGTTGTATCCATCTCTTCTCTCTTATTCTAGATAAGGAGAATCATTTTACTAATCTTGAAGTTGGCAGCAAGAGCAGAATTGTTCCCATGTAGCTGTGTTCATGTTAAACCTACAAACCAACTTCTCAATATATTGTTCTTAATACATATGCCACTTCTTGGAAGTTATATCTCATGCCCATAATCCATTTTGTTGGCCCTATGTATTCCGTGACAAATGACTTCCTAATCGTGGCTTCAGTGAGAAGAATCATCCAATATTTTCTCTCAATTAACATGCCATTAACTTTTACAATAAAATGGTGAAATTATCAACACTAAACCTCGTAAAAAATAATGCTTTGAATTGGTTTTTCGATAGCCTTGCTCAAAATGATCTAGGCAAAATGCTCAAAATAATCTTGTTTTGGCTCACAATACAATCATTGTGATGACTCGTCACAACAACATATTACACATATATGAATTCAACCATTGTAAATACAAACAAGTCCATAATTAAGTCAATATTTTTCAATTCTTCATGATTCCCATTTACAATTCAACAAGTATCAAACATGTAACAAGGTTGAAAACCCACAAACCAAAGAACAAATACTTGTATTTCTAAGCATCCGCAACTGCCTGATGAAACTCATTCATGGATCTAAGTAACCCGAGAATAACTTCTACTACTCTTCGAAACATTAGGGGATCCAACCATCCAACAAAACAACAATTGTTTCCACTTTGAGAACAATGCCAGAACCTTCAACCTGGATTTGTCCATGAGGTCACTATTACTGTTTGGGTATCCCATGCACATATCACCATTTATGGAATATCTTTGGAAGAAGCAGTTGCAGATGTGGAGGAGGAAAAATGTATGAAATGAACCTTCTGTAGGTTTTAATTTGTATATATAGGGATAGGCCTCCATTGGAAATGTCCGTTTTGCCCCCATGTGAGGTCTACATGCATCTCATTAATGCCGAAATAAACGGGAGTTAGGCTCAGAGTGAAAAAAAAAAAATACAAACCATATGGACCATCAATATAAAAAATCCAATATTAGGACCAAATGTTTGAATTTGGGAAAACCACAGGGACCAAATGTTTGAATTTGGGAAAACCACAGGGACCATGAACATTTTGTGTTCTTCTCAGTTCTCATTGATTAAGAACCGTCGAAGTCAAGAGGTCATAGCAAAATATACAAAATTCCCTCTACTATTTTCAACTAGGGTTATGACGATCTAACCCCGTATGCTATACGCATGTATGTGACTGGGAAGATGTATTATACTGGAAGAATTACCGATGGAGGAAGGCGGTTGCGGAGGTAGCGACGGTGCATCGCCATCATCGTCGGCATTATTAAATGGTGGTGGACGGCAAAGGTTTGAGGTGGAGTTGAGGCCGGGAGAGACAACAATTGTGTCGTGGAAGAAGCTTATGAAGGATGCCAACAAAGCTGCAAATAATAGTCTGCCCCCTCCTGTACCTGCTCCTCCTATGCCTCCTGCTGTTGCTGTTAATCAAGCCCTAGATCCTCTTAATGCTCCACCGGTAGTGTCTTCGTGAACTTGCCATATTTTTTTTATTATATTGTTACTTATAGTTCGGATGAAGGAAGTAGAAGTTTGATTGAAAATAAGGTGATCTAGGATGTAAGTGCAATTATGAGCTGCTTTCAACTCCTAATGATTGCTTGTTATTGAATAAGTTGAAATACTTCTTAGAGTTCAGTTGGAGTTTGAAACTTAATTGTTACTTGAGCAGTTAGGAGTTTGTAAATTGACAGGGAAGTTTGTAACTATCGTAAGTAGAATGATTTTGCAGTAGGTTGAGTTAGTTACATCAGAATGCTTTCACAGTATATCGTTTTTGTTTCCATTTTTCCTAGAAATGACTTGCTGATGTGATTTTTGGAACTGATGTCTGATCATGGTATAGACATATCAGCAATTACATTCTAAACCTGCTCAAATGCTGTGTGTACCTGATATGCTCATGAAGATAGGTAATGGTAGTGTTAATATTTCTGATGGTAAATCATTTCACAGAGTATAATTGCACAATATTTTACAGATATAAACCTATAGTGAATAGCAAAGCCTTTTTTTCTTTGTTTATCATTGCTTCTTTTTGATAACATGAGGAGATTTCTTGTCTTGAAATGTAATTTGGTAACTACCTTCACTGTACTTAGTCTAATTAGCATTTGCAGGGAGAGCCTGCTGAAAATGAAGGTAATGATGCAGCTCCTGGTAGCCGTTTTGGTGCTGTTATTGAGAAGATTGAGCGCTTATACATGGTATGTGGTACATTTATTATGTTACAAAAGCTGTTATCTGGACACTATGAGGATGGCATATCTGAGTGGTCTTCTGCATCATTTGTAGAACTATGGATTGGGATTGACAGAATTACATCAAACTCTTAGGAGTAATGTTGTAGAAAATTCTTGTCATTGTCCTGAAGATGCTGCATCCTATACTTTCAGGGTAAAAACAGTAGTGATGAGGAAGATCTCAATGATGTTGTTCCTGATGATGATGAGTATGATACTGAAGATTCTTTCATAGATGATACCGAGTTGGTTTGTTAATCTTTATTTCCTTGCATGATTGTTTTATGTTGAAGCACTGCTTAATCTCACTGCTCTTGTAGGTGTTTTAGTTGAAGATCTATAATGTCTGCATTTAGATTTATTGCCTTCTTTCTCTTCCACAGGATGACTATTTCCAGGTTGATGATTCTCAAATAAAGCATGATGGATTCTTTGTTAATCGTGGCAAGTTGGAGCGCACAACTGTTTCAAAGTAATTTTTTTTTTCTATGGGAAAACAGCATCTTATCATGATTATAATTCTTCTACCTTCTTTTTAGATTATCTCTTGGTTATAATATCTCCAATCTGAATATATTGGTAGGAATAAGCCTACTGCTTTGCCAAACCATCAAAGGAAAAAGAGAAGGAAAGATTCAGAAAAAGCTAGTGGTGGGAATGATATTGGCCAGCTGAATACTCAGAAAGTTAAAAATAAGGAAGCGGGAAAGGTACATGCACCAGTAGACAAAAATTCCATCATTTCATCTCAGAGTAAAGCTTCATCCACTATAATTCCTTCAAGTTCTGAGGCTACAATAATGACAAAGAACATTGACAAGCAGAAGGCTGTGGTATGCCAACCCAAAGACCATGGTAGTAAATTGAAAAATGGAAGTCCCTCCTCTGTGACTCCATTGCAGAAGTCTAATGACAATAGCTCTAATGTGAAATCAAGTTCTCATTCCGGGCTATTGCTTAACAACTCAGAAGAGTTGAATCATTCTCTTCCCATTGGAGAGAAAAATGTGATTCGTGAACAATCAAAAGCCAAGGCCACCAGGACCACTCAGCAAGCTACAGTGAGTGTTCTTTCACTGTACTGTCTTTTTTATTCCTAGAATTCCTCTCCTCACCAACAATCATCTAATTATGATTATGAGTTTGTATCTACAATTTAGTTAGAGGGTGCATACCAACAAACCCTTAGCAAATAAAACCAATTAAATCAAGTTACCAACATCCAGTCTCAAGCTTGGGAATATATGTTTTCCATCCCTAGCTTGCAAAACTTCAAAAAAGTTTAATATGGTGATACTTTGTTGCAGAAATCTGGCCTTCTGTAGGTATGCAAGTAATTTAGACCATTGTCAAGTTTCTTCTTAATGACATGCCTATAAAGTATCAACCTCCACTTGTTTAATTCTGTCATGTTGGACTGCATTATGAGCTAGGTTTCATTGTTTCTTGTGGATTATTATCATGATACAGTTTCATAAGGCCTTGCATTTAATGCTCAAATCTTTCCCAAGGCCTCTATGCAAAAAAAGGCGTTCATCACATCAAACTCCTGTAAAGGTTTGATCATTATTCACAGCTCAACATAGTAATGCTCTTGTGAGAATTCAATTTTGCCACCTATCCAAAGCCCTCTAAACTTCTATATAGGTTGGAGCATAACCCTTAGCTACTAACTTTTTTTTTTCTGTACATCTCCTAGTGGATCCATGAGAGTCTTAGTCCAATATAAAGACCCATTTGTACAATAGTGTTTTTTTTCATAAATAACTTCACCAGCTTCCATGTTTTAATCTTCTTGCCTCCATTTCACCCTCGTAGCCTCAAGCTGGTCTTCATTCCTCTTTACCGGCCATTGGATTATGAAACTTATGTTCATGTTAGAGTTGAATGAAGGTTTTCTTGCTTTATTTTTGTTGGTCAAGAAATCCATCTTTTACATTACCTGTAGAGGAATCCCTGTAGTAGTTAGGGGTGTTAAAAATGTCTGAACCCGGTCTACCTGACTCCGAACCCGAATAAGATAAATAGAGTTAGGTTTAATAGGTTCTGAAAGTCAAATTCAGGTTATTCGGGTTAACCCGGCAAACCCGAAATACATGTAGGGTTAGGTTTTGGGTTGCTCTGTATAATTTTTTTTCGCTTCGGGTTAACCCGAATAAAATTAATTAATCAAGCCCACAGACCTTACATCTTTTACATACATTTGAACTTCTTAAGACTGTATACATCATCCGATTAACACTCCTACCATGCAGTGTGGAGTGTTAATATGGTCAACTCGATCGGTTTCGGGTTAATCAAATTTTTTTAAAGTCACCAGAAACCGGACCCTATTAAGCTAGTGGTTAGTCGGGTTCACGTCAATCATGTTTGGGGTTAGTTGGGTTAATTAGAAAATAGCCATAAGTTAAGTTGCAACAAGTTGCGTTTCAACTTGACACAATATATCACATTTGGTTTTGTTCACTTTTATTTAAAACCAATATTTATAATCATATTACAATTTACGACGAAACTAACATTCCAGCAAGCAAACAAAACGAGTTTGGAATCAATTGTTTAAATCCAAAATCAATTCCAAGTTCTTGCTAAAACACGCCACGACACGACGTCGTGTTTTTTACACATGACACGAATACAAACACGAATTCAAAATTTAATTTCGCCCCAATTTAGTTTCGTTTTGTGTCATGGATTGCTGCCCTAGATAATAGGTTAAATTAAAAATATTAGAGATGAAATAAAAGTACCTTTTTCTAGTTGAGTTATTTTTTCCTAATCTTCTTTTTCTGGATTGATGCCTATACGAAGCCAATCTCATGTACAAATTAGACATTTGATAGTTTTGTCCCCTAAAGACCTCCTTTATGAATCCAACACCCTCCCACTTGTGCTAAAAACAGACTCTGGAGCCATTGTTGAAATAGGAATAGCTAACAAATCTTTAACCATAAGAAATAAAATTGGAAATCTCGAACTATTTACCTTCTCCCAAGTCAATAGATCAAAACTAACATTAGTATCAACATCCTCAACACTTTTACCCAAATACTTATCGCGATTCACTAATTAACGAATTAGATGTTTGGCTCGTTTCATCTTATTTCTCAACCCATCTCCATAATCGGGATTTGTTGTTTAACTTGTAGGATTATTGGGGTTTGACCATTTCCCTAATGTTAAAGATCTAGTAGACAGTAGAGCATGAATTTTCAGCATGAATTTTCACATAATCTTAATATAAAGCTTTTATTTCATTCTTGATGTGTACTTTCTTTAATTAAACAATCGTTTTTCCTTTCATTCCATGATGATCATCCAATACAATATCCAAAATTCTTCCTTGTTTATTGGATCAAATAAGAAGGCAAAATATAACAACAAATTCATATTTTCAATCTTACAAAAAAAATATTTGTCAACCTTGAGTTTCATAATCTTAGCATTTTTTCAAAATGTTGATCAGCTGGTTGTTCTTGTAAATAATCGCAATGAACTCATTGTCTTAAAATGTCACGAGTTTTAGTGTATTTTAATCATAAGAGTATGTGATCACATTTTGTCTCGAAAATTCTCAATGTAACTTCATAAAATGTTTTAAGAAAATAACACAACTTTCTAGCTTTCTTCCGATCTTTTGATGTCGGAAGCGAATGACCCTTGTTGCGAACATCATTACCAAAATTCACATCCTTAAATCATACCTATCAAAAGCATGTTCATAGGCTTGGGCTACTTTTAACATATGGTAGGTGGAGTTTCCACCTAGTTTGAACATCAAGAATCAAGTAGTAGATGAATTTGTTGTTATGTTTTGCCTTCTTAATTGCTTCAAGGAAGAATTTTTGGATAGTGTATTGGATGATCATCATGGAATGGATGGAAAAGCGATTGTTGAATCAAGGAAAACACACATCAAGAATGAAATTAAAGCTTTATAATAGAGAAGTCATGGTTCTCCGTCTACTGCATTTCCAATGTTAGGGAAAGGGTCAAACCCCAATAATCCTACTAGTTCTACAACAAATCCCGATTATGGAGATAAGTTGAGAAATAAAATGAAAATGATCCAAACATCTAATTTTTCAATTAGTGAATTGGATAAGTATTTTGGTGAAAGTGTTGAAGATTTTGATAGTAATTCGTTCTGATATATTGACTTGGTGGAAGGTAAATAAACCAAGATTTTCAATTTTATCTCTTATGTCTAAAGATTTGTTAGCTATTCTCATCTCCATGATGGTTTTGGAGTCGGTTTTTAGCACACGTGGGAAGGTGTTGGATTCATATATGAGTTCTGTAGGTGACAAAACTATTGTATGCCTAATTTGTACACAAGATTGGCTTCGTATAGGTATCAATCCGGAAAAAGAAGATTGGGAAAAATAAGTCAACTATAAAAAGGTACTTATATTTATCTTTAATATTTTTTAGTTTAGTCTATTATCTCTTGCAAATTATTTTTGTTTATGTAGATTTGAGAGAACAAGATGTTGCAATATTATAGATTGAAGATTGTTTTGCCAATTAAACACTTATTATGGATTTAAACAGTTGATTTCAAACTCGTTTTGTTTGGTTGCTAAAATATTAAACATTTGGTCATAATATGATTATAAATATTGTTTTTTATTGAAAGTAAACAAAAACCAAATATGATATTTTGTGTCGTAATTTATGACTATTTTATATTTGACCCTAACCCGTAACTTAATAGGTGTTTTAAAAAAAAAAAAACCTGACTAACCTGAAACTGGATTAACACCCTAGCAGTAGTAGACAGAACTTTTAGCCTGAATCTTAACAGTCATACTCAAAAAGAGCAGAAACTCAAGAGTATTTTTAGTGAAAAACAGCTGTACTGTGAAAATGACTAGAAGGTTAATAATTACCTAATAGTTCTGATCTTGACTTATCTGCTCTAATCGCTATAATGTTATTCTTATTTTATTTGTCACTTCGGAATGTCTGTAATGTAATCTAAAGCAACTTTCTGTAATTTTTTCAGCAGAAGAACCCTCTCATGGTGAGAAAGGAAGGTTCAAATACCAAACCTAAAAGTACAATGCTTGAGAAAGCTATCAGGGATTTGGAGAAGACTGTTGTGGAATGTATGTCTGATGATCACTTCTATCTAAATATCAAAGACACACTTCTCTTCTCTGTTCATTAAAGCTGCATTTACCGGACTAGATTGGAAAAACTTTCTAGGGCTATTGAGGCTGAGGAGGGCATTCATGTCTTTTGCACCTATGATATATCAATAGTGTGGTGGGACAAAATATCAGTCCCAGTTCCAGTCCAATGTACACCAAGCTTTGTACAGCATGTTCTGTCGTGTCCTTTGTTACAAAGGGGCTAACTTGTAATATTTGACATCATGGCAGCAAGGCCACCAAACATGGGAGTTGCTGATGCTGACACTTGTTCTCCAGTTGTCAAAAAGAGAATGCCTCCTGACATAAAGCATAAGCTAGCTAAAGTTGCTAGACTTGCGGTAATTGACACCTAACTTTTTATCTGTTTGTTCAGTGGAATTGCTCTTTTCTTGTCTTCAATAATTGTGCTTCTTTTGAACATATTTCTGAAGACATACACAATTTGAATCTTTACATTTATGGTGGTTTTAGCATGCAAACCATGGGAAAATCTCAAAGGAGCTACTTAATCGGTTGATGAGCATTGTTGGTCATCTGATACAGCTCAGATCATTGAGGGTATTGCATTTGTTTTGTCATATATCGTTGTATTTTTCTTTTATATAATTTCTATAACCTTTGCTTTTAGCTGCCCAATATTTATAATCATTGGATGCCTTCCAACAGAGAAATATTGTAAACATGATTAATATGGGATTGTCTGCCAAAGAAGAGAAAGATGCCAGGATGCAGCAGTTAAAGAAACAAATAGAGGAGATGGTTAAGATAAGGTCACCAATGATGATGTCCAGGGTATGCTTGCTTAGTTATGTTTTTTTTTTCTTAGATAACTGCAATTTACCCACAAGTATGCTTTTATTTATCTAAAGAAAAGAACGAGAAATTAAGAAAATGAATAAATAAACACCATTGAGTAAATGATCTGTGGTAATATGGATGTGGACTGTGGAGACACATGTTTCTTTGAAAAGTAATCGTGAATGGTTTTGTGTTTCTTGAGATGCTTGTAACCAGTCCTTTAAACTTTTCAGGGTTAAATAGAAGAAGAAATAGCAACCACTTTCATCGGTTATAGCATCCCACTTACATTTTGTTTCATGCTTTGAAAAATCTACCTAAGTATAGCAATGTTATCCAAATAAAAAGCAATTGTCACTGATATAATTGGACATATTTTTTGAAGTATAATCTCCTAATAAGAAAAAAATGAAAGTACATAGCTATTTCTAGCATTTAGCCAAACATTTTAATATGTTTTGCTGTTGTTTGTATCATCTTAGGCTATGGAGCAGCAGCTGGTTGGAGAATCTGATGATTTTCAAGAAAGTGGGACCAAAGAAAAAGAAATTTTTAAAAGAAAAATTACTATGGATGATGCATTAGAGGATAAGATATGCATCCTTTATGACCTTTTTGTTGAGGTAGCACTTCATCCATCGTATCTTAAAAAAAATCGTTTTGAAAAACAAACTTGCCTTTTTAGAGCTACTCATTTGTAATCAGGGACTGGATGAAGATGCAGCTCCTCAAGTTAGGAAGCTCTATGCAGATGTAAGCTTATCCTAAAACTTTTATGCATTAAATTTCATGCTAGTTATGTATGTAATTAAGTGGGAGAAATTGACCATTATGTGATTTTATAACCTTATCCTTATTCATTAATGTTGCAGCTTGCAGAACTGTGGCCACAAGGTTTAATGGACAATCATGGGATTAGAGGAGCAATTTGTAGGGCAAAAGATAGGAGAAAAGCACTACACAAGCATAAGGTACTTCTAAATCTTCATTTTTTTTTATTCTTCATCAATATAATGTATCAGACTGTCTTATTTTCCAATTTCCTTAATTTGGTGTGAAGGGTCAAGAGAAGTTGAAAAGGAAAAAAATTACCCGTACAAAAACCAATACTACCATTGACATCGAGGCAAGCTCTGTAGCTTCAGAATACAAATTTTCTACTGCAGTCACCCAGGCAAAGAGAAAGATGGAGGTGGAGTAGTAGTATGAAGCTTAAATCCAACTTGGATAAAAATGTGAATAACTCAGATCAGATTCTAATATGTGAGTTTGGCTCCAAATATGTTTCAATGGGCACATGATAGTTTCCGTTTACGTATACACAAGATAATACACGCTCCATCAATTTTTTTATAATAGAGGTGGAAAAATGTGATGTGAATGATTAGTCGAGTCGCGTTATTATTTTATCTTAGGGTTGTAGAGTTGTCACTGATAGAATTCATGTCATAATCAAAAACACCAACGTCAACACCCTCCTCCCATAAGAATGAGGCAAGGGGATGTAGGATGGGTAGACAACCCTATCTGAGAGTAGAGAGTGCTTCCGTAGATAACATGCCCACACATAAAAACAAGTCATAATTAAAAATCTCCCCCGTCAAAAGGATCCAGCCACTAAACAATTATAAGCTTAAATTTTTTTTCATTATTACACATGTCAAGTTATTTATTATTTCTATACACTTACAATAATGGAGTATTTATGATTTTATACAACTAGAAAATGCCTTCTTCCCACTTTTGGGGATGTAGACAAGGTTTTGCTTACAAAATTACATTGATTGTTGTTGAAAAAACAATCTCATAGGGACCATTTTCATAAATCATTTGATACGTAGGGACAAAAGCACACTTTTAAAATTTCTTATTAGGAAGTGACATTTATGTAATTCTTTTAACATATGTATCATTCATTTAAATATAATTTTGTACAAGGACCTATTATGTAAATTAGAAGGACTGTTCTTGCAATTTTTTTTTATATAAGGACAAAACAGGTGATACTTGCAAACATGAGAAAATATTTTCCTATTCGGCACTCGATAAAATCATTGGAAAAAAATCAAAAATAGAATTTTAAACTACAAAATTATATTATTGATAAAAAAAAGGATTTGTACACTTCATTCTTTTATGTTTTAATAAATAAAATACCGCGTGAATCCAAAGCTACAACTTTCCTTTTAGCTGTGTTGAATCACATGCCACAAGTCCTCATAAGTCATAACCATGTTGTTTATGTAAGTTTACTTGTAGACGGGCTAAACCGCCAAAAACTGAAAAACATAAAAGTGTTGTGGCAAAACTTGAAAACTAAAAAAGTATACTGTGGCTAAGGACTTTAGTTTTAATATCTATAGGAATATGATTTATTAAGGTAATTAACTTTTCGGTTTGTTCACATCTAGGTAACTATCTTTTTTTGTACACATCTAGGTAACAAACTTTTAGAAGTGTTCACATATGACCATTATGACCTGTTGTAGCAGGTTACATCCTAGATGTGAACACGTTTAACAAGTTCGTTACCTAGATGTGTACAAAAAAAAAATAGTTACCCGAATATGAACAAAACGAAAAGTAAGAGTAAATTACACGAATGGTCCCTGTGGCTTGGGGGAATTTGTGTTTTTGGTTCCTAACTTATTTTTTTAATTAGGATGGTCCCTACTGTTTATTTTTGTTGCGCGTTTGGTCTCTGTCTTACCTAAAAAGACTATTGTGCCCTTATTAATTTATTTTTTAATTAATTTTCTTATTTATGTATTTATTTTTTATATATTTAAAAAAATTAATAGACCCCACATATGTGTATCTCCTCACCGTAAACCTGAAACCACATTTGAGAAATTTAATTTGGGTCTCATCAGTCACCATCTCATCTCTCATCCTCCTCAACTTCTATTTTTCCATCTTTAGTGACATCGATGTCTTCACCATCCTTCTTTTTTTGGTCCTTTAACTCTGGCGAACCAATACCATAACCCACTGTCTCTTCATCTTTAGTGGGTTGTGGTGTTGATTCGACGGAGTTGAAGGACCGAAAAAAGAAGGGATGGTGAAGACGTCGATATCACTAAAGATGAAAAATAAATATAAGTTGAGGAGGATGAGAGATGGGATGGTGAGGAGATACAAATATGTGGTGTCTATTAATTCCCTTGGACTTGGATTTGAACTTATGACATTGGACTGAATGTTAATTACTTTGACTGGTGTAAGTGGTTTGAAGTTTGTAACCAATCTGGATAAATATTAGGGAATTTTTTAGAAAAGATTTTTCAGAAAAAGATTGTTGTTGATCAACAAATAGCTGGAATCGGGCATTGTTATATTTTATGAAACAAAGATGGTTGAGCATGTTTTGTCACATATAATTTCACGAGAGTAAGACCATAATTTGTTCCAAGAATTGACTTGATGATATTGAAAGGGAATTAGTGTTGTGATCTTTGATTCTGTTGAGTTGTATTAGGGAGTGGCCAAAGTCTTATTTCTATTATCATATAATATTTTGAGACTAAAGCCAAGTTGACTCAAGGCATGACAGGTACATTCTCAACTATGGTACAAAACAGGGTTAATTGGGTTGGATATATTTTTTCATGTTTGTTTTGATTTCTTGCATCAAGTTTCAAAAAAAAAAGTTTAACTTTGATTTTCTTTTCTTCTCTTTTCTTTTATTTTCTCCGGTTTAAATTTTCTTGTTCTTTCTTGAGGACAAGAAAGGTTTAAGCTTGGGGAGATTTGTTAGGTGCATTTCATGTACCCATTTTGTAGCTTTATTTCATAAAAGTACATTGCATATAGGCTTAAACTCATGCATTTTGCATGTTTTTCGGGATTTTTCATGAGGCAATTTCATTCAAATACTTTTGTGATATTTCAGGGACTTTTGGAGGTAGGATATTGTTGGAGGAGGTAAATAAAAGTTGTGGACAAAATTTCAGGACTTGCGGAGCACCGAGGAGCAAGATATCAAAGAAATGAAGATTTTGGCTTTACAGAGATTTACACGGCCGTGTAAATGCAAGCCTTGCGTTTACGCGGGCCGTGTAAACGTAGATTTCTGCACAGTATATTTTTGCGTTTACGCGGGCCGTGTAAATGACAGTGTTAATTTACGCGGGCCGTGTAAACGTAAATGCGGGTTTTAAAGCAGTTTTTCACCATTTTTAAAAGGGGGAACCGGCTTTTTACTTTGGGGGTCGACTTTTGGAGTAGAGAAGGCGATTTTCTTGAGGATTTTGAAGTTGATTAACACTTGGGAACATTTGATTTCATTTTGTAAGAACTTTAATTTCATTTTCTAGATTTGTGATCTTGTTCTAGTCATGAGTGGCTAGAACCCTAGATTCTCCAACTTTATGTCTTGACTTCTAGTTGTGATTTCAATCATATGACTTGATGTTTTCTTTCAATTTTCTATCTAGTGAATTTGATTTTGTTTCAATCGAATGTTTGATTCTAATTGTGATTCTTACTGGCCATTTGAATTAGGGTTAGATCATTCAAGTTATCTAATTGCAAAATCCGTAATTGTTTTGTAAATTGGACTAGGTAACAAGCACTAAACTGATTTCTATTGAATGAATTTAGTGTAAATCTTATTCACACATTCTTATGCTCCCGAGCTTATGAGGAGTATTGAGTGTTGTTGGGAACATTCACATAAAGTTTAATGCAATCTTTCAACCTAATTCTAAGAGTTTGTTTAGATTAGATTGGTAAGGTTAGGATTAATCAAAGAGCTTGTTTTGGTTAATTATTGTGGTGAATGGGAAGTGTTAGAGCTTGTTAACACTTTCAAGTACCAACTTAGATAGAATTAAACAAATATCTTGTCATCCATGGAATCACATTGCTAATTTGTCTTGCATAGAGTTGGAGTACTTACAAATCTTGAACTTACTTCACTTAATCAATCATTTACTTATTGCTTTATTCTATAGTTTAAATCATTGCTTATAAATTCCCCCCATTCTGTGACCATTTTTGTACCTTACGCAAAAAGGTATAAACACTTGTCCCGTGTCTCTGTGGATCGACCCTACTTACCTTGTACTACGTTTTTAGTGCATAGTAGTAGTGTTTAAGGAGTCATTTGTACCCTTTATTTGTTGGGTTTGACACGCCTAACAAATTGGCGCCGTTGCCGGGGATACGGTGTTACTAATTGTTTACGCCAAGCATTTTGTGAGCAGGCGCTTTCAAAAAAAAAAAAAGTCAGGTAGAAGATAAGTTTTCAATTGAAGGAAATGGCGAGAAGGTTAATGTGTTGTAAAGGCCCACCTACTTAGAACAAAGCACATTCAGGGGCCAAGTCGAGCCAACGACTTAAAACAAGGGCAGCTAACCGGGAGGCAACCCGGGGTTATTTGTTTCCTTTCTTTTAAAATTTTTTAGTCTTTGGTAAATTTCAATTTTTTTAATGTCCCAAATGGTTTTAAACTTATTTTTTTATGCCTAGAAAATGAATCTCCGGCTCCAAAAATACTTCACGGATAGCTTGGGGAGGATGAAGAGGAGGTTCTCACCATAATTGCAAGGCTCCAAGAACGATTTGGTAAATTCTTTCCATATCTTTAGTCGTTCATATTTTGCTTAAAAATTCAATTGGTATGCATCTGTGACTGTTTTGGACCCATTCCCAACCCAGCTACCATCCTCCACCATCCGACTCTTAATAGGCTGACTATGTCTCTCTCCAAGCATCGAGGACGATGCTATATTTTAAGCTTGGGGAGGGGCATCCATCCATGCATAAATCCCGTTGCATGTAGTTTTGTACATATTGCATTAATTTTCATTTCATTTTCTTTTTCATTTTTTTTTCTGCATGGAAAATTTTTCAAAAACCAAAAAGATTTTCTTTCTATTCTAATTTTTATTATTTTCTTTGCATTTTGTTTGCATCTAAATTTTTGCATTGCATTCATTGCATAATTAGAAAAAAAAAACGATCTAATCCCAAGCAATCGAATCTTTTCAAAACAGTTGAGCTGGTAAATGAGTCATGTGCCTTGAAATTGGCTTGCTCTTTTTATTGAAAAATCTAAAAGCAAGTTAATCACACACGAACACACCTCCCGAAGCTACTTGTGCAAAACAGAAAGTGAGAAGATTGTCAACATTGGAGCATAACAACAGGTATGAGTTAATTCTTTGGGACATATGACCGGTCTTATGAGTAGTAATGTTCAATTGAACTTAAAATGCCAAATTCAAAAGTTCATAAAAAGAATACAAAATCTCAATGTTCCGAGCCTTCCAGCGCTCTAAAAAGTCATTTCTACTCATTCCCTTTTATATACCGTGCTTGGGGACATAGCTTCCAACTATACCTACGGGTCTTTGCATGTTGACCTTTAGTCCCCTGAAAAATGTCTTAGAAGTCCTCACGGTAATAGACCGTGAGATGTCCCACAATAGAAAAGTCAAGGATGGAAATATAAAGAAATAGGCCTAGCAAATAAATTAATAAGAGTGTTATATGTTATCTTATTTATATGAAAAAATAGGCTGCTTATTGCTTATTGCTTAATCCCGCCGCAATAAACAAATTTAAGTGTTTGGATAAGAGTCTTTAAAAATCAGCTTATTGCGGTAGGAATAAGCCAAATAAGCTGATTTTAATAAACAGGGGGGGGGGGGGAATGCTTATTGTTTATTGCTTATTGGTCATTTTACTCATATAAGCTGTTTTGTTTGCCAAACACTTACAATGCTTATTGCTTATTATTTATTCAATAAGCTAATCCAAACACATTTTAAACAAGTGCTTATTCCCACCACAATAAGCAAATAAGCAATAAGCTAAAAACTATTTATCCAAACACCCCTTTATAATTTACATAAAACTTATTATTTTAATCCGTTGACTCTAACCAGCAATGGGCCCATGCGTTTGCATGACGACTTAATTACATCCAACCAAATCCGTGGTCTTTGTTTCCCCTCGTGTTTTGCTTCACAACCAGAATAGTATCAACAAAATAAAATTTTGCGTTGATTAATGACAATCATCAAGTCGATTATACTTTTGTTTTTATTAGATGATATTAATATTAATTAATTATTGTGACGGTCACCTTTTTCATAAAATAACATTTTGTCTAATTTTAATGTTGTATGATACAGATTTTCTTCCAAAAAATATTAAATACGATGATTTTTATTACAAAAATATTATCTGAATACAACAAAATTATATATTTTGCTATTATACAGAAAATATATTGTGTAAGTCGTAATTTATCTTAACATATGCATTATTCAACACATTATTGCCCGAAATTCTTTCTTTCCCTTTCCATGAAACTTCTCGTAAATTCCTCATCATCTTCCATCCACACAAGTCATTTAATATGACTTTGAAGCAAGTGGTACTTATTCACTCTTCTCCAAATCATTGTGGATTAAAAGATTAATCTATCGAAAGCATTAATCTCTAATGGAATGTTAGGCTAGGAAAAAACTACGTATATTCAGAATATCAATGAGAGCTCGTTCAAATAGTTCAAATTTGTTCAAAATAATTTAAAGACAATAAGACATAATTGCAAGTATAAATTATAAATAATGATTAAGATGATAATATCCTCGTTGTCAAGTTGCTCATATCCTCATCCTCCTATTCAAAGTTGACCGTATTTTAAAATTTCCCTTTTTAGATTATCTTAAAAGTCATATACCATGATTACTTAGTCTCATTCACTGCTATTTATACCCATAGAAAATTATCATTTTGATAAATTTTCTTTGTATAACATCTTTTTCCAAAACAATGTCTCCAATCAATTGCCACGAATTGCACCAGCTTTTCAAGATTCTGGACACGAATGAAGATGGTCTAGTGAGCATCGAGGAACTTAAAGGGCTTCTCGAGAAAACCGGAGTTCAAATAAGCTTAGACGAGCTCAAAACCCTAGTTGGTAATACAGGTCTTGACCTCATGGACTTTTGGGTGTTTTATGATGTTTTTAACAAGCATAACCCAATTGATGGCCATCATAGATCAAAAGAGGTGGAGCAAGAGATGATGGAGGGTGATATCTTGAAAGCTTTTAAAGTGTTCGACATGAATGATGATGGATTCATCTCAAGCAAAGAGCTACAAAGCACCTTGTCAAGATTAGGGCTATGGAATGATGATTGTGGCCAGAGGAGTTGTAGGAGCATGATTGAATTTTATGATACAAATAATGACGGAGTGCTTGATTTTGAGGAGTTTAAAAATATGTTGTTATTGCCAAAGTCATTTGACTCAACTGGTACCTAATTTGATTTTTTTAATCCGATGGTTACAACTTTATTCTGTGATGCTAATAGGGCATATATCTGTATTTTATATATAGTTGGATTCTAATAAGATTATGTTGTTACTCTCAAAGTCCTATAAACAAATTCGTATTGCACTTTTATCAATGTAGAGTTAGGCCCTGTTTGGTAAGGAGCTGACCGGGTCCGGTCAGTACTTTTTGTTGACTCGGTCCGGTCAGGCTGTTTGATATAGGGCTAATTGTGTCTCACCCAGTCCAATATTCTGACTCGGTCTTGAGAATTTGCCTGACTCGGTCCATGGCAAAAAGAAAGTTGATTGAAAAAATCCCTTATTTGCCCTTGTCATTCTCGTTTCCTTGTTCTTCTCCTTGCCCAACTCTGCATCAGTGACATCATCTGCGTCGCTCCTCTCTTCTCCTCCCTCCGACTTCACCTACCCCTTCCAGCGACGCCTCCTGAAGCTCCGACCTCCTTCCAATTCATACAAGATTGGTGAAATTTCTTCTTAACAGACGCTCCCTTCCTAGCCTTGGCCTTCTTCCTTCGCCGTCTTGTTTCTCCATCGACGCCGACCCTTCCCTGCTCAACAACGCCGCCGTCCACCGCTAGTCCACCATCCTCCTCTTCAGCACTTTCCTCCACCAGGGTCGATCTGCAACTCCGACGGTAATTTTTTTCATCTGTTTTTTTTTTCTTTTTTTTCTGAAATTAGATGCACATATGTATGCATTTTCTGGAATTCGATGTTATTTGTGTATCTATTTCCTGTAATTAGATGCAATTTGTGTATTTAATTGCAGAAATTTCATCTTATTTGTGTATGGATTTCATAAATTTGATTGATCTTTTATTGTTTATCACTTGTCTTCAAAGATGAACTTAACAAGAATGTTGGTTTTGAGGAAAGCAATATGTATGAGACTGATTTTCTTTTGGATTTGGACGAGTTGACCATGGCAGAAGCATATGAAGATGTATATGATACCATATATCATGTTAAAGATAGTTATGAAGGCCTAGAAGCTGATTTTAGTTCTATTTCCACAAATTAAATCAACAAGAAATCATTGGTGTAAATTAAAAGTAGAAAGTAGTGGTAGTGTTTAGTTTTGTATGATATGATGTAGTGGATGATTGGATTAGACTAGAATGGATGAAGTTTGGAGAAATGGTGTATGTATGATCCATGAATTTTGTATAAACCTTAGAATTGATTAACTATATGTATCATAACACTGTTTGCTTATGATCCCAGTGTTATATTTTTGAAGAATAGTTGTAAATTATATCATTTTGTCTTTGTCTTATATTTTTATATGCATCTTTTTATAAGAATGGTTGTAAATAACATATCCATTTTGTAAATTACACGGTAATGTTATAAATTAAATGGTTAATCATAAATGAATTATTATAAAAATGTTGTTTGAGGGTAATATAGTCATTTTGTACAGTCAGTTGGATGTAAAAATCAAACAAAAAGTTTCGGTCAGAAGTTAACTCAGTCAGAACTTCTAACCCAGTCAGCTTCTAACCCGACCAGCTCTAACCCAGTTAGCAACTATCAAACGACCCCTTAATGCCACTAAATATAAGTCTTCGGTTCAAATCCAATAAATGAATTATTATAAAAATGGTGTCGCGCTCCCTCATGAAACCGTAGTGACACGTAGGCGCCACCTCACCCGTTACCATAAAAGGGTGGTCTCATACCATACCCAAGGAGTGGTGTCACACTTTGTTTTTTTTTAATTAAATAAAAACTATTTTTAATAAAAATCATTCATTTCATTACTTCAAAATATAAATAACATTAAATTCCATTGCCCAAATAAAAATCCTACAAACTTCAAAAAAAAAAAAAAAAAAAAAGACACTAGAAATTTTAAACCTACAAACTCAAAAAAAACATACATTAAACGATTTAAAATAAACACACTACATGAAGTCGTCCTCTGAGAACTCATCTTCCGGGTCATCCTCCGGATCCAAATTGAGGTTAATGTGTTGCATCCCGTAAATGTGTTCCATCAAATTCGTACGAAGATTGTGAAATGTTTCATTGCAACGAACCTCTGATCTCTATTCAATGTACTCGTCGCCCCCAATTTCTATTGCTTGTGTCGCGGGAATGGTTTCCTCTTCATCATACTCACATATCGCTCTTCCTTCATTTTCGATAATCATATTATGCAGTATTATACATGCATACATGACTTCATGCATTTTTTCCTCGCTGAAAAATATTATTGGTTTTTTCAATATAAACCAACGTTTCTTAAGAGCTCCAAAAGCCCGCTCGACATCCTTTCTAACTCTTTCTTGAGCTTTCTTGAATTTTTTCCGACGAGTATCATTCGGACACGTAAACGATTTAACAAAAACTACGTACTCAGGATAGATCCCATCAACTAGATAATAACCATATTTATATGGTGTTCCACGCAATTGAAAAGAAGAATCCGATGCAGATCCGTCGTATATGTTGTTAAATATAGGTGAACGATTAAAAACGTTAATGTCGTTGAGGGATCCAGGAGAACCAAAAAAAGCATGCTAAATCCACTGATCCTGTGATGTCACCGCTTCAAGTATGACCATTGGATGCCCATGATTTCTAAAAATATATCTCCATGTTCTCTGTTCAGCATTGTCGGATGCCCTACTGCATGCCGCTTCATACGTTTGTTTCGTAAATTTAGCAGCAGTGACAAAAACATCGAACATAACATCAAATTCTTCAGAAGAATCGGACGAAGACATTTTTTTTTTGATTTTTTTGAGAGGTAATGTAGTAGAAAGATAAAAAAATATGAAGGGTTGAATGGTTTAAATAGATGGTAAAGTTTAAAAGAAAAAATATAAAAATAATAAAAACCCAATTTCGACTGTTTGGAACGGTCAAATGCATCAACCAATCAAAATCACCCATCAACCGCTCCCTCCGAAGGCCACAGTGCACCCTAGGCCGCACCTGGACCGCACCCAGGGGACGGTGTTCGTGCTTATGTGGCAAAGGGAGTGTGGTCCATGCCGCACCATGTGACAACCCGAAAGATTTTGGATCAAGCACGGTCTAAACCTTGACCCCATACGAGAGAATTCACAACGTAACCTTATTACAATAAAACATTTGAAAGCCATAGGTACATTGATTTATAAGCTAACATATATGTATATAAATATGTGTAAATAAGCTTTGTGGAACCATGTTTAAATGCATTTTGACAAGTCAACAAGATAGCACACAATAAGCATTTCCTTTATGAATTATGGCCGAGAACCCCCATTAAGGCCGAAAACCCTTCCATGGGGGATCCAAAACAAAAAACAAAGCACCTAGGACCGAAAACTACTTTAATGAATCAATGTTGGTCGTAAACTACCCTAGTGAATCAATGCTTGGCCGTAAACTACATTAGTGGATCATTGTTGGCCGAAAACACCATAGAAGAAGGATGGGACCGAAATCAAATAGCCTAGGACCGAAATCCCTTATGATTTCGGTCATATTAAGATATTTTAAGGGGTTTGCGGTCAAGGGAAGGAAAAAGACAAAAGTAGTTGACCTTGAGATATTATATCAATCCTATTTCCAATAAGAATCCCAGCAACTCACGTAATATCCACCAAATAACCATGTATTATTCCCAGGTTCCCAAGTAAACATCTTGTCACTACTTTTCTCTTATAATTAACGAAGCCGCCTCATAGGACCTCCCCACTTCCAATTCAACTTCCAGTAAACCTCATTTCATTTCTAGAGCAAGCTTCCAAGCCTTCAAGGGTAAAATCCTTCAAGCCATCCTTAGATTTTTGAGTAAGTATTTTCATAATCCTCTAGTGTTTATAACATATTTATGCTAGTTTCATATCATTCACACATATTACAATGTGTTAAAGCCTTAGGATACCAACAACACCAAGAAGTTCATCAAACCATTCAAGTGCTTAGACTTGAAGATCTTCACACTATCACCTCCATCAACCCGCAAATCCTTTCAAGATGAGTTCATACCTCCACATTTTCAAGCTTTTTCATGTTTTAGGGGGGAGGGGGGGAATATAAGTAAAACTTTGTCAAACCCACAAATAATTTCATGTTTACATCTTTATCTTAAAGGTAAAATATTATTTGCATAAGTCATGGTTTATACTAGTTTTCGGTATAAATATTTGTGATATACATATTTTAAAAATAAACATAATCTATGATATAAAACCATAAGAAAATTTATGATTATAAAACTACATGGTTTTGGAAACTTTTCTAAAAGATAGCTTTTCTAGCATAAATGATAACATCATAGCCATTTAGCAAACTTGGTGGGTTTTAACCCTCTATATATATATATATATATATATATATATATATATATATATATATATATATATATATATTATGTTGATACTAGGCAAAATACGCATTTATATTTATATAAAAGATTATATAAATAGTTTCAAACAAACAAGATATGCTTTAATTATATAGTCTAAAAGTTACAAATCACACTTACATTTTAGAAGATACATAAAATTGTTCAAATATATACTTATTTCGTTTTACAAGGAAAAGGAGTCATAGTTCACGTAAATCAGTTAATGCTCTTGTAAGACGTTCTCTTCACTGTACCTACCTAGCGTACACTTTAAGTCCTGCATTATAACCAGAGTCTCCTTGAGGGAGAGCGAGACCGTTGTGTATAGATCTATACGGGATTGACAACCCAACACCTCAGTTTTTCGCTACAGTTAGACCGGCAAGTCTAGGGTGACAAATATCTTACCAGCTCTAACGCCTGAAGAACGTCGTTCAGGCATATCAGTCATATTAGCATGGTTATAAGAACTCACATAGGGATTAACATACTATTTCGGTTTACGAGAAGGTTATACTTCATTAGTTTTATAAAAAGAAATAAAACTGTATATACTATTTTCAGTACAACATTCACTTACATCTTGGTCTTGGGGTTTAAGACTACAGTTCATATTTAAGTAAATGTTAGATTTTCTGGTAACCTACATTATTACTTTACAAGGAAAGGATACAAAGGAATTATATACAATTAAAGTTCATATTTAAGAAAATATTGGATTTTCTGGTAAAATACATTATTACTTTACAAGGAAAAAATACAAAAGAATTACATACAATTACAGTTCATATTTAAGAAAATACTGGATTTTCTGGAAACATACATTATTACCTTACAAGGAAAAGATACAAAGGAATTACATACAATTATAGTACATATTAAAGAAAATATCGAATTTTCTTGGAAGTATATGAAACCATTTCTCGCAAAACAGTTACAAACCTTTTTCATACAAAATGCTTATGAACTCACCAACTTTATAGTTGACACTTTTCCAAATCACTTGTATTCTCAGGAAACCAGTAGACAAGTACTCAACCCTTCTTGAGGGTCGGCGTCGTCGTCTCATGTTTTCCTACTTTTCAGTTATTTGTATTCAACTTTTGAACAACAGAGTTTTGTAAACAATGTATTACTTGAAATCTCAATGTATGAATGTTTGTGTTGCTATGTTTCATTACTATTCAATTGTTATGATACTGTACATGAAGTCACTCCATCCGCCCCCAGACGATTTCGTCGTTCTGGTTTGGGGGTGTGACACACCACTCCCTCTGGTCTAAAGGGCATTGTATTCTTTTTCCGGTCAACGAACTATCTTAAAAAATGACTAAACTAGCCACCTTCTTCAATGATTTGCCATGAAATAACCCAAAATATCAATTGTTCCTCAAAATAACAACAAGCCACACTTTTTGCAGGATGCCAACGCAAAATTATGTGGCCAATGCGAAATGCATATTTGTGAAAACGACAATATCTTTTAGGCTAAAGGGTGTGGTGTTTTTTTGTCGGTAAAAGACTACCACATAGGCGCCACATCAACTTTTATATTTTTTATATTTTTTACCTATGAGCTATGGTGGGGTGATGTTTTTACCTACCAACTTTTTCCTTTTTTTTAAATTAAAAAATCTAAATAATCACATAAAAAAATGTTTTTACCTACCGATTCATTCTTCCCTCTTAAACCTCGCAGCTTCAGATTCTAAACCCTAGCAGCAGATAACACACACAAATCGAAGAAATGTTGGAGAGTAGACTGATTATGATTATCAGGAGAAGCAAATCTATCAATCAAATAAGATCGTTGTTTTCTTCTCACGGTGAATCGTAAAATCTTCATAGTCGATTCGCGTTAGATCGTTAACCCCACCACTAGAAACTGTTTCATCAATGGCTTTCGATCCTTCTACAATCTTAACAAGGTATTGTCGACTGCAATACGAGCAATGGTCACAAACCCACAACGTTCCAATTTTTAAATCTTTACCACCGGTACCTCACCGCTGGTGGAAAAAGGAGAGAGGGGCGGTGTTCACCGCCAGTAAAGCGGTCCATGTCGGACTACCGACGGTGAAAACCGCATCACACCATTAAATTTATGCCCCTCTCTAAGGTTTCATGAGAGAACCCCTTCTCTAAACTTTACAATATTATTACTCCAAACATGCTACATGCATATTCATATTATAATTTACAGACTTCTGGATATTTATCAAAATACTGGATACAAACCAACTATTAAGAATTTTTTTTTTTACAGAGTTTTATATATTACATAATTTCCCAGGAATTTATACACTAAATACAAAAGTTATAATATTATCTATTCTACATCTTCTAACAGTACATAACTATACTGAATGCTTATCACCTGCAATAATTAAACACTAAGAGGGATAAGCGGGTGACGCTTAGTGAGTTCAATAACAGTTACAATATATCGTTATGACATATATATATATATATATATATATATATATATATATATATATATATATATATATATATATATATATATGACAGAAGCAAAGGGACAAAGAACAACAAAAGCAGATGAGTATCATATGACAGGCTTTCCATATCAACGAATAATCTGATTCAGAGATTTACAATCAATGAAATACAACAATTTCAATATGATATACATCAATAAGACTTCAGCCCAAGTGGCATAGAAAATAAACGATTTCTGATTATCATTTTGCTAGAATATACAGGATTTTAGCCCTACCTAGCATTCTGCCAATACCAAAGTGATGCTTAGTCATTCACTTCATGGTCAAAGGCTTCATACCAATACCAAAGTGATGCTTAGTCATTCACTTCATGGTCAAATGTATAGCTTCATTATCGTAATAACACGGGAAAGCACATTGCACATATAACACATAACATACAATTGTCCCTATATTGAACTCACCGTGAAAGAACTGAATGGCAAAATGATAATTTGGGCAGCACTTCGTCTCCAAAAATGACTTTCTTTGACGAAACCGGGGATTTTTGTTGAAAATCGGGCCTTGCGCGGGCAGAGTTTCAACTTGAAAAGATTATTTTCTCGGGTCTTCGGTGCGTCGGGACTTGCTTCGGGTGTCGGGGATGTTTCCTACGCTTCGGGGGGTGTTAGGGTAATTTGAGAGAGAGTAGAGGGTGAAAGAGAATCCAAAATTCTAAACAAAATTCGGAAACCTCGCATCCCTTTTATAGTGGTCCGAGGGCTCGCATTACGTTGGGCGTAACTCCTCGGTACGTTGGGCGTACTGCGTAACGGTGCTCTACGCTGAGCGTAACCTAGTACACGGCGCGTAGGTGAGACGTGGCTTCTGATCGGAACCCGGGCCTCGGACATGGCTGAGTTAGGACACGCGCCCATCATGCGAAAGCGCTAAGTGGCTGATACGTGTCTTCGTAGTACGTTGGGTGTACTTCTCCGGTCCAGTCTTGTAATTTGTTCCATAAACTTCAAAATTTCATATCTTTCGCATACGATCTCTGTTTTTGACGTTATTAATATCCACGCGTATGTGAGATTATACTCTACAACTTTCGTTTAGATTCTGTCGGCTAATTTTGACTTCATTTTTAATATTATATTTTTAACGGGCCGGGACAGGAAAAGTCCGTTAAAAATTCATAACTTCTTCATCTGACGTCCGTTTTCGTCTGTCTTTTTACCGTTGCACTACTATTGACGAGATCTTCTTCTCGTTTAAGTTGTATCGGCTAAATATCACTCGATCTTTATTTCGAGTTTTGGGCTGTGTACTGATATGCCGAATTTTAGAAAAATCATAACTTCCTCATACGAAGTCAGATTTGGACGTTCTTTTTATTAAAATTTTCGGTTTAACGAATAGTACGACTTTCATTTAGATCACTAGAGCTAAAAAGTAGTTTATCGTAAACTCACTTTTTACGTCATATGGCGTCGTGCCGGTTCTGTCGCGAAACTTTAATAAGTCATAACTTTTTCGTTATAACTCGGATTTCAGTGAGGTTTTCGACTAAATGTTTCTAACGAGATAATCTACAACTTTCAATAACGTTATTTTTACTTATTTCCAACTTTATATTTTCGTTAATTTCAATAGTTGACTTTTGATTGTAATCTCATAAGACTTTCAATACTTTCTGAATGATTCTAAACATAGTTTTACTTCAAATCTCATAAAACTATATTGTTAGAACTCAATGCTCAAAACTATATAATATTTAATAATATTCATTTTTAAATTAACAAAACACGATAATTGAACGTGTATGTTACATTTCACAGTCGACAATATGAAATACGCCCACTGTGGACCCCACTATGAATTGTGGTTCCATTGTGATATTGTGGAACCCCTGTGAAATTACTTTTTGACCATTGTTTCGTCATTTTGAGGAATTGTGTTCATTAATAGTAATGCAAAATTACCGTTGTTAATGTGAAGTTACCATGGCCACTACTCAAATATCAAAGAAGCAAAGAAGCTTATAATGTGAGTGTTTGGATAGCTATTAGCAATAGCAATGTTTTAAAAATCGGTTTTTTAGTTGAAACGGTATAGTGACCGGTTCTCGGTTCGACCACTGGGTCAACGGTTTCTATAATTTTCATCTTTTTCCTATTTTCCTACACACACATACATATATAAATCATAAATTTGACGTTTACAAGTGCAAACATTAAAAAAATATATAAAAATAAGTTGTAGATTAATCCAAATACATTAAAATAACACATAACCATAAGTTTTAGAGTTTTATATCAATCCACATACGTCAAAAAGAAAATAAAGTATAACCGAAACAAAATATAGTTTTAGATGAATACAAACACATCAAAAAACTTTACAACATATGTTTTTATTTAAAGAAAACAAAATAGATTTGAAAAAATCACCAAAGTTTATTATGCAAATGGTTATTTTCTATGTGTTTTTATTCGGTTTAACCGGTTTATTTTGACCGGTTCAACTAGGTTTTCTAAAAACCGGCCGGTTCAATCCGGTACAGAAATCGACGTAAAACCGATGATAGTTGAACCGCTCCCCCCCCCCCCCGGTCTAATCGGTTTGACCGGCCTGTTTATAAAACATTGGCTATCAGGTGATGATTTGGCAGCTAAACAACACCCATAGTGGATTGCTAAAATTGTCTCTTTAGCTGCATTTGATCAGTAAATGGGCTGTCAGTCACCATGTCATTTTCTTGGGCTAAAATGTAGCAGCTAATGGGCTAGGTTATACTAAACAATGACAACTAGGCTGAAATTCGATACTTCATGGGTTGTTGAATTTGTAGACTGGAACACTGAAAGTCGTCCTAAACATTAAGAAATCCACATATTCAAATTAAACAAGTGAAAATGTCCAAAATAAAAATGTTATGATTGAAATGTAGAAAAAATGTAAAACATGCTAAAACTAATATAAAATGAATGCATATAGTAAATAAATAAATAACAAAAGTCCAAGATAACACATTCCTTTAGGGGCTCGCTCTTCGAAGATATAACCTAGAGTTAGTGTAGCCTTTTTCTAAAAACTTGCTAGTACTAATAAATAATACACTCTGGTTAAAAAAATATCCATTGTTGATCATATAGTACAAGTGTACAACCATTGTATCAAATACTATCTAGTCCTTTTTATCAATTTAATCATGTATTCATGTACGTAGGCAGATCAGTATGTATAATATGACATTGAATCTTATAAGGCTGAAAAAGAATGATGGTTCAGGCCCCACACTCCACACTCACGTATGTATGTGAAATGAAGCTTGCAGAAGATAAAAGGAAATTGAAAAAACTTGTTATATTCAACGAAAACAAGTTACAGCTTAATTAATTAAAAAGTTACTACTACTCAGAAAATATATCACGTTTCCAAACTTACTCCTAAAGTCAAGAAGATATGGCATGAAACCCCACAAGAATCGGTCTCCCTTATGAACATGTTAAACTTTCTTATTTTGCTTGTTTATTATTTGTGGATATGCTAACGTAAACTTCATCAGAAAATTGACCCGGGACCCTTAACTACCGAACTGTGATCGACACCCGTACCCGATAAATAAACGATTAACCCAATTAACAAAGAATTCCACTAGAATGTGCATTGATCAATCGTTATTTTCTTCAAATCTGAGATAGCAGTTTTGCCATCTTTTCACGAGGCTGACACTTTGCCACCAAGGGTTTAGCTCTTGGCATGGTCAACCCCTTTCCTTCTGTCATATCAATCATCTCATTGCTTGTTCTTTCCCACTCAAAGCACTGAATAAGCGTACCCCAATGCCAATCCCACCATACGCAATGCTAAGTTTTCTGCAGGACACCTCCTCCTTCCTGACCCAAAGGGCATTAGCTTATACCCATCTTTCGAACCTTCTAACCCTTCAAATCTCTCTGGTTTAAACTTCTTAGGGTTTTCCCAGTTCTTTGGGTCGTTTTGCATCGCCCACAAGTTCATCAACAACATTGTACCACTTGGGATGTGATACCCACCGACTGTACAATCCGTTGCAGATTCATGGAACACGAGTGGACCAGGTGGGTACATTCGCATGGTTTCGTTCATAATGCAACGAAGATAAGGAAGGTTTGATATGTCTGATTCGTTAACAAGACGATCTTCCCCAACACACTTGTCGATCTCAGTCTGAGCTTTCTTTAGGGTTTCGGGGTTGTTTAACAAAAGCGATAGCATCCATTCCATTGCTCCACTCGAGGTATCGGTTCCTGCTGACAGTAGTACCTAATTAAAATACACAGAAAATCGATAAAGTTTACGTAAGTTGTAACACAATAAGTAATATATTGTTTGTTCTTGATCGCTTTTGTATTCCCAAGACGATATATATGATCAAAGGGCTACGTACGCAAGCATTGACTTAGAGGATTATAGTTTAGTATTTCATCGATTCAGAAAATTAAAAAAAAAACAGTTATATATAAGCTGTTAAAAAAAAAACAGTTATATAGGCCTATACGGTAACATTTAGAAAAGACTAAAGAAAGAGTAATGTATATTATTTACTTTATCATTTTTACTAATTAAACTAGCTTTATTATTTTTTGGTTTCTTTTTGAAATAACTAATTTATCGACACAATCGGTTGTGACAATAGCAATAGCTAGCATTAATTACATACCTATAATAAGATTCAATTTGCAAGAGTTTAATTACCAAAAGTTAGAATTTTAGGTGGTTAATTGATAAAGTGGTAGTATGATTATACCTTTTATTTTGTAATTTATTATTTTTAAAAAAAAATTATTAATCAGATCATTTGATTATTTATTAAAATATATATGACTAGACATTATAATTGCTAAGTAATTGCAAGTATTAAAATGAAAACTTTTTAAAAGATAAATATGTAAATTTTTTTAATAACTGTTTTTAGAAGAGATTTATAAATTTCTTAATAAATAGATCGATTAAGTTTTAAACAACTCACACCTTTTTGTTTAATTAATGAAGTATTTATTCATCACAGGCCTTACAAGTTGTATACCTAAAATCACGTATTGCGTTTTTATATGATTCTATTTAGATTTCCTTTTAAATAAATCTCTTGTTCTGATGCATTAATAACAATAACAATAATATAATATAAATATAAATATAATAATAAGGTATACCTGCATTAATCCTTTAATGACTTCATCCTTATAATTTTCAGGTTCTGTTTCTTGCAAAATCAAGAGAACTTCAATCAAACTCTTCTTCTCTTCCGATCTACCACCCTCCGCCACCACCGCCATTTTTCTTCTCAGCTCTTCTAACAAACCTTGCATAAACCCATTTCTCTTTTCCTTTAAAGCCACCATTTTCTTCTCCAACCGTCTCCCTCCCACCCACTTCCACCACGGCAAATAGTCCGACACATTCGTCGTCTCCATCACCACAAACGTCTCCTTCACAATCTCCTTAAACCGCCGTCCCTCCTCCACGTCTGCCACCGAATCACCATAATACCTCTTCCCTGCAATCATCATCATCATCACATTCAACATAAGCTCAAAAAACACCGACTTCATCTCCACCGTTCCATCCCTTACCGCCTTCTGGTACACCTTCTTAGCCATGAGCCGCACCTCCTCCGCACGAATCTCGTTAAGGGTTTGTAGCCGGTGAGCTGACAAAAGCTCAAGGGAGGCGATACGGCGGAGGTTACGCCAGTGACTACCATAGCTTGACCAAGCAAGGGTGGTGTAGTCATACCCAAGGTGTTTTCCGGCAAGCAGAAGGGGTCGGTTGGCAAAAGCAACGTCGTTGGTGGTGAGGCATTCCTCCACCGCCTCCGGGGAAGAAACTAAGAAAGCCCGACGGGTGCCGAACTGAAGCATGAGCATCGGACCATGACGGGCGGAGAGTTTACCTAAGGCTCGGTAGAGAGGGCTTCTAACTAGGTAAAGATGCCCCAATATGGGTAAGCATGGGAAGGGCATTGGTGGTAAATTTCTGGTTTTTCCTAAGGTAGCTTTGCTAATCCATATAATGGCAATGATGGAAAAAATTATATAAAATGTCTCCATAAGTATGGATGTTTTTTTTTTTTGGTGTATATATTGATATGATCCAGACGTTGCAACATATTTATACTGAGATCTTGGCCAACGAAGAGGCTAGTATGTTTGACTTTTACAATATAAAATCCAAATTTAATACAAAGTTGTGTATTTCATATAATTATATGATTGTTCGTGTTCTCATAGTTCAAAGTCAAGTATTAAGACCATCCCCATTCATGGAATAAATGAATGTGTTGGTTGGTATATAAATATTAAAGCAAACAAAAGTCCTCCAAAAACATATTAAAGTAAACAGAAGTCCTCCAAAAACATATTAAAGTAAGCAAAAGTCCTCCAAAAACTACGACTGGTACTCGATGCAAACATCATTTGGCCTATTTTTTTATTAATAATTGTTTTGTTACTTTTGTATATTGTTTTAGAATAGAAATAAAAATATCCTTTTTCAATACAATTTAAGTTTAGAAACCCAATAAATTATATCTAGATAAATGTTATATATTTTTATCTCTATTTTTAATAGACAAAATTGCAAAAATGGTCCCTATGGTATGCATTTTTTGAGGTTTTGGATTAGTGGTCATTTTGAGCTCGTTTCGTTACGAATTTGGTCCTTCGGTAAACTGAAATGACTTTAATACCCTTGGCATATTTATTTTCTATTTTTCTTTCATTTTTCTTAAATCTAATAATTAATTAATTATTTAAACAATAAAAAAATAAGAGGCCCACCTCTCTCTCTCTCTCTCTCTCACTCACTCTCTCCGGTTTCAATACCCAAAGATACAATCCACCATCATCTTCTTCAATACCCTCGTCTTCTTCATAAAACTCAACTCCTCACCACCATCTCTCCTTCCAGCCACCACAAATCAACCACCAACACCACGATCAGAAATCAAGGTTTGTGCAATCATCCTTACTCATGCTCAAATCAAATATATATCAAAAGCTCACCATCAGGTCCTCACCGCCCCTTTCTTATAGATCTGGAATGGCGCTCACCTTTGCAGTGGGTATCTAGATTTCAAGAAGGTTCTCCGAATCGTTTCCTTCTTCAAAATCCGATTTTATTCTTATTATCTGTAATCAATCGATGGAGGTTTTCTATTTAATGGGTTCATCCACCCTTTGTGCAGAAGAATTTAGTCTGTTTCCAAAGTGAAGAACAAAAGAAGGGAGCGATTAAATTACTGGAAATATTAACAAACCCAAGTTTTTTTCCACATTTGATTGAATTCGGAAGAGACCCACTTAACATATTGGATGCTAGATTGAGATAGGTGATGTTTGGCAAAACGAATAAAGCAGATGGGGGTGTTCCGATCAGTGAGTTGGATGACAGGTCGAGATGATGAAGCTGGTTAAGTTTTCCAAATTGTTCAGGAATGTTACCCGAAAACGAGTTATTGCTTAAAAGAACTGCAATCACTCCTTTAGGCAACAATGGAAGTTCAGAATCTAGATGATTTTCCCTCAAATCTAGTAAACATAGATTAGATGAAGTACTCAAATCAGGTAATTTACCAGAAAGTTGATTGTGTGAAAGAGACAAATCTGTAATTGTTGTGATCTTGGTAATTAACGAAGGAAAATGACCCGTTAATTTGTTGTTCTTTAAGCTAAAAATGGTAAGATTTGATAAGGAATCGAACCAGGGATAGATTCATTGAAGAAATTTCCATCTAATGTTAAAGTATGAAGCTTTTGTAATCTTGAAATGTTATTTGGGACAGAACCAAACATAAAATTTGAGCTCATATCCAAGACTTCAAGAGAATGGAGTCTATGGATTTGTTGAATGCAAGGTGTTGAAGGATCTGAGTAAAAGAAAAAGGGAGAAATGGGTGTCGGAAATAAGAGAGAGAGAGAGAGAGAGTATGTGGGCTCCTATTTTTATTTTTTATATATAAATATTTATTGGAAAAAAATGGAAAATAAATATAATAAGGGCAATTTAGTCTTTTCAGTTTACCGAATGACCAAAATCACAAGCAAACTAGCTCAAAATGACCATCAATCCAAAAAAGTCGTGATTTGGACTAAAACCCCAAAAAATTGCATACCACATGGACCATTTTTGCAATTTTGTCTTTTTAATATTTTTGTATCTTACATAAACAATTTAGTTGTTTTGAAAAAAAAATATTATAATAAAAAAATTATAAATTTTATTTATTAAATAAAATAATAGTTTTTGGTTGGGTTGTTAATGTGATTGAAAATTTGGATTTAGTTATACCAAATGGTCTTTGGTCTAGCGGTAAGGTGTGATTCTCTCAAATGAGAGAAGTCTTTTAGGAGACATATGTGATATTTGGAAATAGGTTAGTTAGTTTGTCGTTTCAAAAAAAAATTGAGTTGTGAATAAGGATAGTCTAATGGACCGTTTTATATTTATTATAATTATTTAAATAATTACTTCTATTTTAATTGTCACTAGTATAAGTCTATAAGATATCATTATAAATAAAAATTGGTATTAGTCTATAGGTTTTTCTTATGAAGTCTATCAAATAAGATGTGAAATTCCTTAAATAGGGTTCAAGATTTAAACATTTCACATTTGAAATTTGGTTAGTACTCCGCGATTTATCTTCATTTGATGAGACCTTGAGACGGATTCCACATCGTCGTGCAAGGATGCGATTTACCATTTTTTAGTCTAACATGGCGAATTTAACATCTAACAACTAACCAGTCGTTCAAGTTTTTTTTTCTTAATTTATGTTATTGAAACTATTATTTAATCCTTATTCAGACAAAATCACATAGATGGCCCTTGTACATTACAAAAAGTAACAAGTTTAGTTACTAACTTTTTTTCTTGACGTAGATGGTCCATCTTGTTTTAAATTATTGTGTGTTGGTCCTCATCTATATAATTTTTTTTACCATTTAGTATCATTTCCCCTTTTTTTAATGTATTTATAATTTATATTAGTATTTAATTATAATAGTCAAACCATACTCAATGTCTTAACCCATCTTATCCCATTTGTCTTCCAACCACCACCACCATCGACATCCAAAAAAAAAAATCCCTTCACAGTCATGAAAACACGACACAGAACACAAATCTCATCCTTATATCATATATTCAACTAACAACATGAAAACAACAATTTAAACACAAAACCATATATACAATGAATTGCAAATTAATGATATGGAAAAGAAATCTAAACACAAAACCTACTGATCGGAAAACCAACCTAAACACATATTCAAACACAAACATCAACACAAAAAACTTGAGAATCAAAATTATAAGCACAAGTAGAAGATGTAGATGGAATAAAATGGCAAATAGAACCAATTATCTATCCCTTTTAGTGAAAGAAAATTCAAACCTAAAATAAGTAAAGCTTTTGCTAGAGACTAGAAACATGTCGAAGAGAATATTGGGTTTAGAGGAGTATAAATCCTTTTATAGATATTTTTATTCTACTTAATGAACTATAGTCAAGAGGTATGAAACCCTAACAAGGGTGGATGATGTTGTTGTGTTCAAGTAAGATGAAATGGGTTCGTTGGATTTGGGAGAATGAGATGGTGAACTTACTTGCAATGTTCTAGTTTTCGGACCGTCAAAGGGTTGTTTCTAGAAGCTGACCTCTATAAAAAAGCCTAATTATTTATAGGGTTGGCAGGGTCATTTAACATGAAATACATGAATTTTGGAATTGGGTTGTTTGATTGAAGATTCGTAAAGTTGTGTAACATCCGGTCCAGGTATAAATCAACTTTTATGTATAAATCTTAATTGGGGTGGCCACGGCGTGGTGGAGCATCACCACGACGTGGGGAGAGTTTTGTATCGCGGTTTTTTAATGACCACCATGGCGTGGTGGCCTATAACCACGACGTGGTGATGGTTAAATGAGAAACCCTAATCTGTGGGGTTTGCGACCCTATTTAAGGGAATATGATGGATAGCGTTGCTCACCCTCAGTCTCCATCACAGTCTCTCAGCCTCCATGCAAACCATAACCTCCAACTTGCCTTTCGAGCCTTTGGTGTTGATTTTTGGGTATTAGAAGAAGAAGAAGGTGAATTTTGGGATTGGATTCAACAAGAGACTCTTCTCATCTTCTTGTTGTGCATCTTATGGACTTTTGTAAGCCATAAAGTTCCATGCTTTTTAGTTCTTTGTGCATAGATCTAGGCTTCTAAGCCTTATTCTTCATGTTGGGACTTATTGGAGTGTTGGAATTCCATAAAGTTGCCAACTTATGGATCCCCAGAGTCCCTTTGGGGTTAGGGGTGTTGGATCTGAAATTTCTTAGAGTTTTCAACTCTTGCATGTGATCCGGGCCCCCTTTTTACTCTATTTGACCTAGTTTGAGTTCAAGACATGCATTGGACATGCATGTCTATAAAGCAACGATTTTAATGGTTCATTGGATGAGAGAATGCCTTATGGGAAGTTTGAATGGTTGGTTTAATGGATTAAGAGCTTATTAGAATAAGTTGGTTTGAACAGTTACCACGACGTGGTGAATGGCTGCTATGCGAGTGTTTCGTCCTCTAGTCACCACGACATGGCTGAAGCTAACCACGACGTTGTAACTGACTGAGTTGACTTGTTGACTTTGACCTTTGACCAGGGTTTGACCAAGTTTGACCTAAGGGTATTTTGAGTGGTATTTGATATTGATCATTTCTAGATGAATAGGTGACCGATTGAGCTGTCATTCAGAATTGTATCCTATTCAGAGATCTTTTTCAGACTGAGAGGTGAGTTTTTACTCACTGTATTTGTAGGTCGAAGGCACCAATGTTGGCCCACTGAGTTATGTATCCTGGTTTAGAGGATGTTGCTAGGTTGCATTGATCTGTTAGAATTGAGTCTTGGTATATAGGATGTTGTTATGCGGTAGTGATCTATAGATCTGCCTGTGAGACTATTGACTGGTTATATGATTATCTGTTTGCTGAATATATGTTATATGTTATATGACGACATAGTATGGTTGGGTTGAGGTTGTATTAGCTTTTGTGTGGTCTGTCAACAAACCTGGGG